TTTATCATGATATAACTGCTTAATCTATAAGATCTTACGTGGAAGTCACATCATTGTCTACACCGACTCATCGTATCGTAACAATCACCAATATATGGTGGAGAACACATCCAGGTTGGAGGTAGAACAATATATTTATATTTACTATGAATAAAAGTGATGAGTCACATAAGAATAGCCACGTTTGCAAGGCTGAGCTATGCCACCCCATTTAATTAATGTTCTCTATTTCCATAGTTAACCGTCTCTTCCTGTCAATCGTTTAACATCAGTATTTAAAGCAATTATATGCACGGCTTAAAAGGTCTTTTGGCTAGGATCAAATGCCACTACAAACTCAGTTTTGAAGTATGTACATTTATAGTCGATACCATATTTCATAGCCTAGTTTTCTTACTTGGTGATTTTATTTTGGAGCACATCTAGCTAATAGCGATCTTGCTATCTTATCATTCATATTTAGGGCTTGTGACGTAGTATGTGGTCAGGTTCAGTCTCACTTAAGTGTGTAGAGAGCAAACATTGTGGCCATACCGAGGCGAACTGGTAAGCAGACACCAGCTCATCAACTGATGAAGTGAAGCCTACATTTATAGGTACTTCAATCTTCATTACGTCCGCATGGTACCACACAAACATAATAACAGCATACCACGAGCAACCAAAAAGGTCTAGAAACTTCTTAGAGATGGAAGAAATCATTGGAGTATGTTTGCCTATATAGGTTCTGAACAGTACGGACTCAGGCACTGTAACACTAAAAACGGATGCAAAGCATTGACAATTACGGCTAGACCTTCATAGGTGACTAGATATCCCGAAGATTGCTTGAAAGGGTTGTTCTCTTATATAAAGAGGAGAACTCAGAGATAAGGAGAGATTTCGCCAGATCAAATACAAATGTATCAGTCCATATTGGCATGAAGTGCATTGGCACAACTGAAATTTATATATATTGATAAAATATTGATAATATATTGATAACATTCTTTCTACCAACGATCGCGAAAGACCAACAATTAATTATAATGATAGCAGATGGTCGATGGATTCTCTGCTTTTTGAGAGATGAGATGTTTCGCAATTACTTCAACATCTCAAATCGGATAAGTCTGGTTGTTCTGTGAAATATTTACTATAGGATCATGAAAGCCTTGACAGATCTGATTGTTGAACCTCCGGTCACACTGGTTAATATGTCACTGAGTTAGTCTAAACTGCCAAGAGACCAAACAACGTGGAATTATAAATCTAGTTTATAATACTAGGTGTAGAGACTTAATTGGTAACCATCATCCCGTTAGTCTGACCACAGTAGTCGCCAAAATATTAGAGCAGGTCGTTCAGGTGGCTGTTCTAAGCTATATGGAACGGAATAATATTTTAGTCAGGGAACAACATGGTTTTATGAAAAATATTTCGTGCCTCATGAACCTTATTGTAGGACAAAATTGAGCAGTGTTGAAAGATATTAGTACCTCTGTAGATGTTATTTGAATAGATCAAAGTAGAGCATCGGTAAAGTCTCTCACCCGGGCCTTAGATTAAAACTGGAAAGTTCAATAGTTAATTTTGAAATTAGATACGTGACTTTCGCAGTGATGTGAGATAATAGTTATGGATAAACGATACCTAGTTAACATGAGAATCTGTAAGAGTTGATTTCACCTGTATTCAATCACTTATCCTCTTCCTTCAGTCTGAGTAAACTATTTATGAACTGTAGTAAAGTCATTTGTCCTACTCTTTGGCGATGAAATCAATCTTTGGAGACTTATACACCTTATGTCCGATAGGATACTGTCGTAGAGTGACTTAAATTCACCGGTCAAGTGGATGTATACGTGATCATCACGGTTTATTTCTGGTAAGAGCATAGTAGCGCAAATAGATAACTGCACTAATTTATACAGCAAAACATTAAATGAAATCGTATTACCTAAAGCAATGGATTTTAGTGATCTAGCAGTCATAATAAGCAAAGACCTTATAACTACCAGTAACTGTTGGACGGTTTTTTTCCTGGGGCCTTAGATTCTTGTAGACCATTTGAAAGTCATTTTGTTACTTGGATGAAGAAACGTCCAGGGCCGCGTTTGAAATAATGGATTCAAACAGCTAGTCCTTGTTTCAAGTATGAGACAGATATGGTAGAAAGAGTTTAAAGTTGAGAAACCAAAGAAGTGAAATATCTCACTTGTCCTCATGAAGATATACTGAAACATCTCAACCTTTATGTACTATCCTAAGTCAAGTTACAGGGTGATCTAACACTAGGTAACAAAATACTGAGCGACTATTTTGGCATTATTACATCTTATTTTGTTTTTCCATATACGACTGATCATCTGAGTAGAAACCCTAAGAAATTTCAAAAACCGAGATCGAATTGTTTACGTCTGCAGATTCGTTTCCTGCATCGAGCAGGAAACCACTGGAATTTTCTACTATGAAGTGAATTATCAGAACCTTCTGTTATTATACTCAAAGTGAGACTGAATTTTTACTTCATTGCAAGTTTCAAAGGATAATATGGATTGATTGACCTCCTGACCTTACTATCAAGGTTTCGTGTGTGGACTAAACTGTTTGTTCATATTTTTTGCTTGGTTTTGTCCTGTGTACAAGGTCGTGCAACGACACAAGTTTGAACAGATTTACGAGTCTGTTCGTTTGGGTTGTTGTTAGTGGAGGCTTTGGTCAACTGATAAACGTCCGAAATTTGCTCAGTGTTGTTATTTGTTCGCTTGTGAGTTGTTATCGTGCCCAAAAACTATAGAACGAGTTCAGATTCAACGATGAGTACTTACAATGTACATATGGGAAAGTCGTTTCGTTTTGAGATAAGTATTAACCTGTGAGCGTTTCTCACTTAAAATCCAAAAATTACTGATGGCGTCTAAAATTTGACATTTCCAAGTAATTTTTAGATTGTGATCAAGTCGGAGAAAAGACATTTTCGCAAATGCGATAAAAATGATCTTTTTGTTATGATTTGCTTCGTCAGTATTTCTCAGAATGTTCAGAAATCATGACGTTTATTTTGATCTCTGAATAAAAGGTATTTTTATTTGTAGTGAAATTATTACTAAAGCCTTAATTAGGTATCTTAAGCGACTAATCAGAGATATATCTCTTATGTGACTTCTTAAATAATAACCATTAAAACAATCTTACTTTTCTTTATCCGGAAAAACTTAGATTTAGGCCTTAAATCATTTTATTCATGATGTTCCAAATGTCTTCTGGGTAAAAGGATCACAGAATAACAGTTGCGTACAAGGGTTATCGACTGGTTTTTGAATCTTTATCTGTAAATATTTAACTGAGTTCCAAAGCATCCGCGTCAAACCGCTTTATCGGTGGTTCAGTTAACTTTCTGGGTCTTATATTTGCCATCGTATTGTATTTGAAGAACACCGATTTTTTCTACATTTTGGACAACCCTTTATCAGTACATAATTTTGGGAGTTTTAATGCTAAAATTGATTTGTGATATGCCTATAATAAACGAGTTGACACTGCTATAGCAGGTTATATAGTCCTATTCTATATAGAATAACTGTGTGACTCATTGACACTAAAATCTTATGGTTCAGAGTGAATTCCAACAATTTTCAATGGAGCTAGTATGTGACAGTCTGCAAAACTAAAGCGACTTGTTTTCTTTGAAGTTGTACACACATTTATGCCTAATATTTGCGAATATTTTGGCTGTACAACTAGGAAACATCAAAATCCAAATAGCATCGGAATGGAACAAGATAGATGTGGGATATTTTGGTAATAAATAAAAATAATATTTTAGTAATATCCCAACGAGTAGAAAAACTAAATCCTTAGACGTTTCGTGACTCAGTATAATCAACTTCTCTACTCGTTGGGGTATTATAAACATATTATTTTTTATTTATAGCACTCTACCCAATGCTTAATATATTCAAAATTACGAAGTCAAACCTTGATGATGCTCTTATCGTGTAATGATAAGTTCAGTGCTAATGAGCTTCTCAGATATTTCTGCCCAGCTGACCGAAAATTTAAATGTTTACTTTATTACAAGTTACGAATGATAATCCCGTAAGCACAGCCAAGGCTACCCAGTGTCTGATTTAAACAAGACCGCTTGTTACATTCAATTGCATCCATTTATTTATTTATGGCAATACATACATTCAGAAAGTAGTGGATTCCTAATCGAATCTTTAAGTAAGTCTCGAAGAATCTGCAAACCTCAGAGTGATCAGCATTATCGTAGGCAAATACATCATGAGTTCAGGTCATATCAGTCCAGTTATAGCATTTTGAGTAAACATTAAATAGAACAAAAGCGAATTACCACTTAACACGAAAAACGTGGTGACTCTTCGTCTCGTTTTGATTTATCTAATTTCTCTGCTCAGTCAACACTATCATGGTATTCTATTGTTTCTCTTCACTTCCTCAGCATTCTTTTTTTGTTGATCATTAAACTTTACAAGCATTCTTTGCTCTGTTGAAAATCTTTTTACCTAGTAAAAACAATAACTTGCTCATTTAGTAGATGTTTTGTGTTTATTTGACAGCTATTATTGTAGTTACTCCAATCATTTTTACCATTTAAAGAGATGTTTGGTTTTCTAATTCGGCCATTCAATTCTGTACTAATTTCCAAACCTTTTATACCACCTTAAAGTATTGGTATCCAAATTGTTATCAATAACTTGGCTATTTTATCTGCCATACTAATTACAATTTGCGGTTACATGATTATAAGGAGTATCTAGGAGAATATTTTGCCTATTTCGAGAGGAAGAAAATATTTGCTTGAGGATTTAATGCATGTGCTAAATATTTAGGAAACCTGAAGCAAAGGGACCTGACTTTACTCTAAAATATTTCTTTATGCCTTAGAAACTAATAACTTGTCGTACTGACAAATAACTTTAACTTATACTCAGAGGTATTTTGTCATTTTTAAACGTTCTTACTGTGATCTATGCTTTTGACTTCCAGTTCAAATGTCTATAGTTTCCCTTCAAATCGGTCAATGTGGTAATCAAATTGGAGCAAAATATTTCAGTACTGTATATGATGACTGTTGTGCCAAGAAAAAGCCATTTCTATCAAAAACTGACACAGAATATATTAGAGACTCATTAAATACATTTTTCTACGAATCTTCAAGTAAACATTCCGTTTAGAATTTGACTTTGCTTCAGAAGGATGTTTGACAGCCAGGTGTGTTCAGATAGATATGGAAGAAAAGGTTATTGCCAGTGTCACTAAAAGTACCTGTCGGGAGAAGTGGAGTTATTCTCCTAATAGCGTTTTTACATCCAAATGTGGCTCAGGTACGTTAATATTAAGACCCTTTTTAGTCTAAATGATGTAACTACATGATAACAGTGCATATTCTTATTACCAGTGATATTCTATTACATAAATTTGTTATGCTTTTTGGCAACTTAATGGTTGGCTATCTGTCGAACTGTTGCTTCAAAAAACAGTTAGGTGGTTGAGTAATTATGGACTAATAGTCACTCGATGGTGAACATAAGCATTGAAACCTTTTTACTCATTATACTGAGTAATTATGTTACATAAACGCCCTGGTAATCACAAACAACGAAACTAGTAAGTAAAAAATGGAAAGGTAACTGAATTGTCAAAGTTTTCTAAATGGCCAGAATCTGACTTATAATAATAACAGCTTTTAACTGCTGAGTCCTTCGTTGACGATCCAAATCGTCTAGCTTGTATTCCTTTGCATTGCTGAGATCAAAGTTTAATAATTATAAAAAGGTTCATATTTTGATGTTTTATTTAAAGTTTCCTCAAATTGACTTAGCTACATCAAATATGGTGTGTTAATATATGTGGTTTTTTATGTTCAGAACACGCTCTTTAGTTAGTTAAATCACCACATATGGAAATATGATCTATTTACATAAAAATTATAGCATCTGTAGGAATCCAAGAAGTTTCACTGAGCTTGAAAATGTGCACCAAATTAATGAATGCTCATAAATTTATTTCGACGAACTCTGTACAAAATGATAAAGTAAGGGTTATTATATGTACGTTGGCATAAATTTTATAATGTGATGGTGACCGCTTGGGGCTGACAAAAGCAACGAAGATGAGAAAAACAACACTGAAAGCACTAGGCATTTGTTTAGATTTGTCGAAAATGGGGTTTAAAGGTCGTCTATTTGCAAACGCATTTGAAGAAAACGAAATATTGATATAAACTGAGATTATTCAGTACTCCTTTAGAAACATTTTAACTGGGATACATCTAGTTGTTAGTTGCCCACTGCTTCTGTAATCAATCAATTCTTAACTAAAGGCTGTTAACAACAAACATGAAGAAACTAAAGAAGTTTTACGTACAGCCATAAATTTATGGGACACAACTCTTGTCGTACTTTCTAACTTGAAGAGTTGATTTAACTTTGTTGATCAGGAGGTTCTATATCAGTTTACTTTATTCAAAAGCACACAGAAGAAGTGTACAAACTTACTGAATTTCTTTCACTAAAATACTACTAGTTGAATTAGAGCTTATGATGAACTGTTATCAGAGTAATCTATATTAATCAATATGAGTCAGTGTTGCTCATTCTTCCTGTTTCATTTAAGTTTCTTCATATGAACATCGACTAACAATTCAGAGATTGATCTCCTTATTTAAAATCTCACTGACAACTTTCCAATGTTGAGGTAACATAGCTTAGATGATTAGGTTATCATTAGATTGGTATCCCTCATTGTCATACAGAAAAGCACACACGAACTCTCACCACTTTTATTTTTAAAACTTACTATTGATGAACGTTAATGGAATTCAATTGTGATGAAAGTTATCCCATTAATCTTCCGGTTGTGATTTCTAGGTAATAATTGGGCGTACGGTTATTTCGTTCATGGAAGTGAATTTGAAGATCAGACACAGCGTTTAATTCAGAATCAACTAGAAAATTGTGATTCACTAGATGGAATCTTGGTAACAATGAGTTTAGCTGGTGGGACAGGTTCCGGTGTGGGTACAAAAATACTCACGTAAGCTTAAATGTTAATCTTGTCGCATATTGATATATATTGGTCTGAATAAATATTTATTTCGAGACATAAACTGTTGATTTTTTTCTGATATTTTAACGTTTCAAAGCTTGTAAACAGCCTATGCTGTGTATCTGTTTACTAACAACAATGATGTCCTTTGGTTAGTTAAACTCATTAGTCAACAGAAACGATATGAATTTAAACAGTCCTTAATAATGTGGTTATGTTCATTGTTTAATTATACCTGTTGGATTGAAAATATTTTCAGTTGTCTGTCTTTTATCTTGCAGTATTCTCTGTTATCTGCAAGGCTAACTTGATAAATTGCTGGAGACTAAGTTATTTAGCTTAGTACCGACTGATATATTTACAAGGGTGCTCGAACACCTTTTTTGTCATTGTTGAAATATAGATTTATGTGCTTATAACTGATAGTATTGGATTCCTGTTCGGTTATATGAATTAGCGGTTATCGTCATACAGATTTACTAATACCACTGCTACTGTCGCAGCTCTCTTCGTTATGTTAATAAATTTGCAATTAATATTTAATCTTATAACTGTGTGTAATAATTTGTATATGTTATTGCAAAAAGTCTTGAGATTTTCCTTACTAAACTGATTAGGATGGACAACAAAACATCGAGGAATAAAATAAAGGTAATTAGTGAGGACATCAGCACCACTGCATATGTGCATACTGTGCGTATTGCCTCGATATTGCCTTAAGTTACAAGCATCATTAGCAAAAATGGATAGTGGCTATCATTACTCAGTAACTAAGTGGATAACGCGATGGCGTTTGAAACGAATGGTACTGGGTTCGAGTTTTAAAGTGCAATCGCAAAGAGTTTATGTCCACCAAAGTTATGGTTAAGGTATGTAGACGACATTTTTATTATCAATAAACGGAATGGTATGGAAGAACTATTTAACAATGCAAACAGCATTTCTGAAAATATTAAACTAACTAAGGAATTAGAATCAGTTGACCACAAACTAGCATTTCTAGATTGTCTGGTTGAACGTCGACACAATAATAAGAAGTTAAAACTAAATGTCTACAGAAAATCAACGCATTCCGAGAGATACTTGGATTTTAATTCATCCCATTCACAGAGCACGAAAATTAATGTGGTAAAAAATCTAATGAACAGAAGTACTAAGATTGTTACAGACAAGGAAGACCAACGAACCGAATTAAATAAAGTGTTTTCTACTCTTAGGGATAACAACTACCCAAAAAGGTTTTTAAAAAAGATTATTAAAAATGAAAGAAAAACTAAACTAGAAAGTATACGAAAAGAATGGAAGTACACCGTAGTCATACCTTACCGGAGTGAAACATCAGAAGAAATCAAACGGATTCTAAACAAACATGATATAAGAGTGTATTTTAGAGCAAATAACACATTAAGATCGACATTAGTGAAAGTTAAGGATAAATTAGCAAAGGAAGAACAACAGAACATTGTGTATGAGATTCACTGTCATGACTGTAATGCTACCTATGTTGGAGAAACATCCAGACAATTAAATGTAAGATTGAAGGAACACAAACAATGCTTGAAAAATGTTCCAAAATCATCGGTAGATTTAAAGAAACTTGAAAATAAGTCAGCGATAGCGTTACATGCGTTAGAAACAGGACACAAGATTAATTTTGAAGGGACCAAAATACTTCAGAAAGGTTTTAACACCCATAAAGAAAGATTGACAGCAGAAGCTCTGCATATATGGGCGAACAAGAACAGCCTGAACCGAAAAGATGGTATTCAAATGGCAACTACCTGGCAAATTTCGTTTGACAAGTAAATTTGGAACCTATCTCTTGTTTAAACCTGTTTTTAATATCACATGCATCGTTATTATTATTAAAAGAACTGAATGAGTTTCTAAACAATACAATTTATGTTTTGACATGCACATCGATCTTTCATTATCAAGTTTTTTCATCCTTGAACTTGAACTTTATTTATTCCTTCATATCAATCTCTCACACATACATACATACATACACACTCACACACATACGATTTGTTACTCAGTTAAGTATTTCCATGTAGTTGAATTCATCACATGATTTGTAGTCAACTGACTCATTTTATCCTATTTTACAAAAAATCAACACCCAAATATGATTGGTTTAACACAGTATAATCCTGATTGTTAAAAGCTATATATTTCTTTGATAATTTTGATTTTGATTATTACCCTGAAGAAGTCCAGACAAGTTAGCTGGACGAAACGTTGGAATTAGTTATATTTCAATCGCTGAGAATATTTCAAATATAATTTTCACATATAATGACTTCTCTATACTCGGCGCTCAATTACTGTCAAACTATTCGTTCTAATCTAGACGAATATTCGTATAAGATATCATACTTTATTTGAAAGTATAACAGGTATCGTTAGTGCAGTAACTTTCATTCAAAATACACTTGATACCCTATTCCCATCTTTTAAAAGCGGTCAAGGAGAACAAGCATACTAATATCTGAAATGTTCCAGTTAATTTTTCTGATCCAAAAGACTCAATTTGAAGTAAAAGTACTGATTTGTACTATTCGTTTCATTTATTTAATCTTTTCCGGTATGATCACTTGATTTTTTATTTTACACATTGCTCACATTAATTTTCCTTACTCCTCTACTCATGCGAATTCCAACACCTTGAACGAAGATAAATTTCATGGTTTCTCATCAGCTGCTTGCAAACAAATATGTAATATAATGAAAATAAATATTTGCATATCTGATTATAGTAAATTTAAGCATTAATTTAGTGTTTACAAGTAATTCAATTTTAAAAACTTTTGTTCTCCATGTAATCGAGGGACAAAGTTTTATTTGCTTTTAAAACATTATTTTAATATCCCATATTAAAGTGTAACAACTACTTGTATATCAAAAACTGTGTGCTGTTCCTTTTTACTCATGACTTGATTCATCAAATAAACACATCTCATATTTTAGACATTTATCTGACATTATACCTAAAGCATGTGTGCTCACACAGTTAATATGGCCATTTACACGTGGTGAAGTATCTGTTCAAGCTTACAATGCTATACTTACACTTGGACATTTGTTGTCTCCATCTACAGCCAATAGTCTCGATGGTTTCATAATGCATCATAATGATACGTTACATGCTATTTGTTCAAATCGTCTTTTGGCTAGTGATCCAAATTGTCAAATCGGTATAGATCATTTAAATGCCCTTCTTACTCATCAGTTGGCTGGGATTTTACAGGTATGTATTATATATATATAGTTATAAATTCACCAAGTCCATATTATCTGGTATAATACAGTCACATCGTTTTATTATACACAATGCAATATCACTGACTTAAACGATTGAATAATGTTCAACGTTTCAAATAATATACATATTATGCTATAGATTTTATGTTGAAAAGAATATCTGGGTATTTCTATTTTCAAGGTTCTGAAGAGATTTGTTATTGTCGGAAAGTTAGCTTTTCCGTAGACTGAAGTTTAGGTAAATTATACAACTTATATTCACTTTCCTGAGATATTTTATTCGCTTATGTATCTTCAGATTCTATGTCACCATTTTGTAAATTCTCTTTATTCTGATCCGGAAGAATTGTTAGTTTTTTATTACATTTCATCCATAACGTTTTAAGAGTATTATCCGGGCTAGATAAACGACTACATTTTTGCATTTTGGTTACAATAAATCACACACGAGTTCTCTTTCTTACCTCCGTAATACCAAGCACTGCTCCGCAGCACATTTTCGTCAGTGTGTATTTTAGGAATAGTGTTAGAAGTAGTTAATCGTTTCGTTGTTTTACATATCGTAAGAGATGAATCAGTCTTTTTTGTTGCGTGGTCCTGCAAATCTCACAAGTGACTCAAAAGTATCATTTAATGTTTTTCAATTCATATCTCATAGTGCAGAAAATATGTTTGTTTGTTTATCAAATAATAAACATGATGTGGAGCATTTAGCTATCATACCTTACGGGCGTAAAACAATACCACTGAAAATAAACTAAATGTGGATAAATTACGCAGAATTGATGCAGTTATCTGACTATAAATTAATGTGGAACGAGTGTGTACAATTACCAGCTATTAGTCCAGCCATATCGGTGGTTTTGCGTTTTCTGATCGACATTTGTGATATACATTTAAACAGTGCTTCGAAACTAACTGATAGGATTAAAAATCAGTCGGAGCGACATCAACCCACTGATTCCTTGTCCTGTTACATATTTCCAAGATCCTATTGTTCTTTACGTCTCATTTAGCTCTAGATTGCTTGGATTTTTCTCTCCAGTTGGTTTTATGATTTCTTAACCTTCGTGTCTATCTTTTGTTGTTTCTTTTTTTGTAAGCTGGTATAAACTTCGATAACTTGAACTGATATACCCTGTTTAAAGTATGGGACCCCATGCAGTTTCTCTTTATTTTCCTGTCGGTATAAGCAGATATAGTTCTATTTACCTTCTCAGTGCATTACTATACTGAATAGGAAAATGAATGCGAATTAATGGCTTGAATCAAAATAATCTTCTACACATTGGTGTGATTGGAAAACTAAAAGTATGGTGGTAAAATTCTATTAACATAACCCGTAATCAACCTAACAAAACAGTCATACATTGCATTGTATCATCAATTATTCGTTACTTTAGGAAATACATATATAACCAATAGAATAGAAATAACTTACTTAATTCTCAAACTATATAGTAGGTTGTTTTCAATTTTCGTCAATTACAAGTTGGTTTTATAAACTCATCACAGTGGCAGGACACAATAGTTGTAATGATAGGTTTATCATTATTTCCTTTGCATTTTATTATTTATAATGTGTTTTCGTTATCACTATGATCATCGTCCAAAAAAGTTCTTTTACTGTTTGAATCGTTTGGTTTATTGTGTTCTCATTTCTGACCACGATAGATTAGTGTTAGATAGTCCCTTACTCTAAGATTTATTGCAGATTAACGGCGTAACATGAAAGCTTTAAGCAGCTGAATCCCGTTTTTCCTACTAATAGTCCGTCCACTAACACTGATGTATATGCTGAAGGATCGATAAATAATGCATATATTCTTCTCTGTTCTCAATTGAAACTTCAGAAAGGTCACTTAAATATTGAGCATTATTTTTTTATTTTTAAATTTCAAAATCATTTGATTATATACATATAATACAAGTCAATGACATAATGTAAATAGTCAGTCTCAATATGTACATAGCTGTAATATTTATATTAAAAATATGAATTACAAATTTAGAATTAATTGACAGTCATCTATAAACGGGAAAAGATATGAAAATATTCAGTGGGTCAAAAATAAAAACTTGCAGTTAAGATAACATGACTACAGGATGACATAATTGTGTGATAAACACACATTAATATTCATACATATCCTGATCCCTCAGGTAATAGATTCTGAAGTTCTGTATTTTCATCTAATAATTATGAATTTAGAATGAAAAGATAGTAATAAGTTTATTGATTCTAGGCTGTTCTAAATCTAGTCATCTGACTGACTTATGTGCCTGGTCCTACGTTGTAGCTGACTGACTGAGTCAGCATATCTATTTGTCAATGTCGAATACATTCAAGTCGTCCATAGGTTTGTTGAGTGATGATTAAATCTGCATAATTTCGTCAAATATATTTACATTGTGTTAATTTGTTGGTGTAGTATCTATAGATTTATGAATATAAAATAACAGTAAATCTCGTGATTTCTATTTTTCTTCTTCTTCAACAGCCCACTATAAATTATACTGAGACAGAATATTTTAAGGATAAAAAACGTTTAACATCTTATTTATTGGATCTATGTGGACATCCTGATTATCGAATAACTCGTTTACGTTGTTTACCGTATATGCCTGTAGAAAATCGTAAATTCTGTACAGAAACTTGGGCTCAATTAGCCCGTCATGCTAGACAAATGTTATTGACGGGTTCTGCTGTAGAAGATAGTAAGACTTTCGTTTTCTCTATACACTTTCATTGTGTGTATGCTTTAGTTTTAATTTTTTGTAACACCTCATATGGAAGCATATATACCTACTTACATAGTTACGCCTGTTACCTATCGTGGAGGAGCATAGACTGTCCACCAGTACTCTATCGTACTCTATCCTGGACGATTCTTTCCAGTCGTTTCCAGCTACTGTTCATCCTCCTTACGTCTGCTTCTGATTCCCGACACACTGTGTTCTTTGGGCTTCCTGTTTTCCGTTTCCCTTCAGGATTCCAAGTCAGCGCTTGCCTCATGATGCAGTTTGATGATTTCCGAAATTTATGACCTATCCACTTCTAACCTCTTTTCCGGATCTCTTCTTGATCTGGAAGCTGGTTTGTTGTCCCACAGTAGGCTGTTGCTGATGGCATCCGGCCAATGCACACTGAGTATCCTGCGTAGACAATTGTTTATAAATACTTGTACTGTTTTGATGATGATTGTGGTAGTTCTCGAAGTTTCAAATCCGTACAGTAGAACTGTCTTGACGTCCGTACTGAAGATTGTGAATTTGATATTGGATGGCAGTTGTTCTGAGTCACATATGTTCTTCAGGTGTATGAGTGCTACCCTTGCTTTGCCAATCCTTACCCGTACGTCTGTATCCGACCCTCGTTATTTACCAATGATGTTTCCCAGGCACATGAAAGATTCCACCTCTTCCAGAGTTTCTTCATCAAGTGTGATTGGATTGGTATTCTCCGTGTTGTATTTGAGGATCTTGCTTTTCCCCATTGTGTATGTTGATACCTACTGATGCAGAGGCTTCTGCTACCCTAGTTGTCTTTACCTGTATTTGTTCGTGTGTATGGGAGAGAAGGGCCAGGTCATCTACGGAGTCCAAATCGTCTAGTTGCATTCAAGCTGTCCATTGTATTCCATGCTTCCCGTCAGATATGAAGGTCTTCATAATTCAGTCAACCACCAGAAGAAAGGGAAAGGGGGAGAGTATGCAGCCTCGTCTTGCTCGGGTCCTCACTTGGAAAGCGTCTGTCAACTTTCCTCCATGCACGACTTTGCAGTGTAGTCCATTGTATGAACTGCGGATGATGTTGACGATCTCAGGTACTGCATAGTGTCAAAGAGGGTTCCATAAGGTCCTTGTATCCACACTGTCAAATGCTTTCTCATAGTCAAGGAAGTTGATGTATAGTGACAGGTTGCGTTCAGTTGATTGTTCAACGATGATTTGTAGTGTCACGGTTTGGTCTGTGCACAACCGATCCTTACGGGATCCGGCCCGTTGATCTCGAAGTTGGACGTCTACTGAATCTTTCATCTTGTTCAGCAAGACTTTGTTGAAAACGTTGCTAATAAAACGCTGACTGGAATAAACAAACATATTTACTGCTCCATATGTAAGTGCGTACTGATCAATTCACTCCTCAAAATTATGTTGTAACATGGTAGTTTTCGGAAACTTTTAACTACTGGTGTTGTATCCTTTTTTATTGGCTTCGTAAAATTTTCTCATGTTTTACCGATCTTATAAAATTGACGAATAACCCCTTAAATATTTGTTTGTATATTTAACTGCCTAGAAGCTCACTTCCATTATTAATAAAATGATGATTTTTAAAAAGAAATATTTACATAATTCTCAATTGTGTTCACATTGTTTCAAAGTGGACTAGTTGAGTAATCCTGTATTAGAAGAATAGTTATTTAGTTTTTTATATGCTGATAGTTAGAGTGCGGTGTAGGGTTTCTACTTTGATATTTTAGCCAATAACAAGACATTGTTGGTGTAATGTCTGCAGTTAAGTTTTCCTTTTGATTATTTCTTTATGAAATAACTTGACTTTAGTTAAAATCTCTACAATTATACATGGTATTCTTTTGTCCATACTGACTAGGTTTCCTCTGATACAAAGTAACTAAATAAACTATTCTTCCTAATGCGCGATTCTTGTCTATTTTTTAATTCTAGCATACAAATTATATTTTTACTGTTTATGGTCTTTCAATGAATGTGGTCACATTTATAGATACGCTCAAAATATCGAGTTACTGAAAATGTTGTGTTTAGTACTTAATTTCTGCTGAAAGTATATTTTCTCTATTAACAGCCTTCAGGTTATAAAATTTGGTCTTATGATAATATTTCAATGATAATAAAACTACCATTGTTTAACTATCTTTCCTGGCATTTAGAACTTGATTGGTCGGCCAGTGCTTCAAATTGTGGATCTAATAACCGAATCGAAAATTCACGGCTCCCATTACTTTCCTATTTATCTGTATTGCGAGGTGACGGAGCAAGTGATCATGTTCGAGATTCGAATACTTTTGTTCATTCACTTACTAGGGATCTTTTGATTTCTGGACCTCCACCAGCTCCTGTTCCTTCTTCTTTTGGCTCAGTTGTTCGTGGACATCATCGTCATTTTGGAGATTACCCTCGCAGTTTGTTTGTTGCTTCTAATGGGGGTGGTTCACGTATAGACAACGTCTCTACTGCTGAAACTAATCGCAAAGAATTATGGATGTCTGCAGCATCGTTAGGCGATACATCAGCTAGTTTAAAATATGTGTCCCTTCGTGCCTGGGAACTGTTTGCTTCTAGAGCATACATACATCAATATGAGAAATATGGACTGACAACAGATATCTTTATGGATTGTGTTGCTACAGTAGAGCAAATTGCACATTGTTATTCTACTCTGTCATGGCACTAAACGTTTGTGGGTTTCATTTTTTACTTACTCATCTTTTGTACATATTTTCTTTAATATTTAAAAATGAACCAATTCGATTTTATTTTTCATTCATTGTTGTTTTTTGGTAGCGGTTTTACCTGGTTCCTGAACGCTTGGAATTCCTCTCTTGTTTTCTCTTTACCAGTCCTTTTATTTTATAAAATTAATGACCACCATGTTCAAAAAACCGTCTTTCATTACATGTATGTTTTTTTTTCTTTGACAATATTTGCTAGCTCTTATCATGTGTTCTTAAACCAATATTAACTTTTGATTTAATAGGATACCACTGTTTTCAGAAACATTAAACCGGCAATCTTGCTTATTCCCGTAGTTTCTGGTTAAGTTCTCTGAGCTTATTGGCTTAACTGTATCGCTTTCAATGTCATTTTGAACAGCATATTTAGCGTGTAGCGGTAAAACCTCAAAATAAATAATTCTTTAGGTTTTTGACATTGATGCTGACCTTATTAGTTTTACTAGACACGCCCTAGTTGAAGGCGCTTAGTCATGCATTAGCACCGGATTGTGAGTAGATACGCTGTGCTACGCATCTCTTGCAACTACTAGCCAGCAAATATCAAACGCTTCTCAACATGTTGGCACTATAACTCCGAACTCCATCCCTGATTTGATTGGTTTTATACCGTTCGATTATAAAGATGCTACGAACTTAAGCGTTGTAGGAAGCAATTTCCTACAGATTCAACTCTAAGCTAATCTCTAGACTGTCGAGTACAGAGTCTTGGTTTAGCCAAAGTCAGAACAAGCAAGCTATTTGGCTAGATAAACTTTATCTGTTTCTAAAACACAAATTAACTTAGTTAGCGTACAAACAAACAGTACGGTCTATTAATACAGGGAAAAACAGAGACAAATAACATACCGAACAGTAGCCAGAGAATAGGAAAAATGAGTCAACAAGCCAATATTGTTTTACAATGAACATTAAACTGTGATTGGTTAATAAAGAGATACAGTCGTACAAGGTCAAAAGGAGTTGATGTGGTGGTGGGCGTTTCCCTTATTATTGGTGGGTTCGTCTATCAATCACATTTTACAAGCGTTGTCAAACTCTGAATATCTGTGGCATTTTTGGGATCGAATGCACTTTTCACTGCCAGCTTACAAACATTCTGTAGAGGTGCATTGAGACGTAAAGAATGGTTTCTTTACAATTCCGTTGAAATAGATGTGGCTGAGATTCAGGTTGGAAATAGCCATGTCCAATATCCCAAACTTCGGTTACTCGACAGTGTTGTTTCGCGGATTGCTAAGTAGGCTTGTCTACTTTTAAGATGTTAAATAACTAGTTCGACACAATTGGATACGTCGTCATCAATGTTCTAGTCTAGGTGTGTAGGCAGTGTGTTTGCGGCCGAGTAAGTCACGTGTCCGATTGAGTTAAGTTTTTGAGATTTGATAGACTATATACTGTACTGCAGAACATATCGTCCGGTATTTCTGACTTGAGTGTCAATATGAAGCATCTAATGTCGAAGTCTGCTAAGCGTGAACATGTGCCTAATTAGTAATACATCACCTGTTCTTTCTTTTGTAGATCTTTACAAATTACAATAAGACTTGGCAATTATAATTAAAACACGTAACGATTGATGCTCAAGCATCTGTCAACTACTCATAATGTTGCACAATATTACTCTTTTTCTTCTCAATAAATTTATTTAAACATATACTATTTCTCACGCGGATTGCAGTTTTCATGTGCTGTGTTACGGGAATAAAGGCGATAACAGGAGACTTTTGGGGTTATGCCAAAGGTGTTTTAAAAGTGGAAGCAAAATCAGAGAAATCGGCGTATATTTAGGCGAAAAGTAGGCAATTCAGCAACGTTTGAAGCAGAGTGACATAAAGGGGAAAAAACCGCATTATTTCCACGGACAGGTGAAAGAGCAGACATTGGCGCATTTTCCTATTATTTCCGCTTTTATTTTCCAACGCATTTTCCCCTTTGTTCGCCTTTATTTCCCGTTTATTGATTGATTGGGGTTCTTATCCTTTTGGAGCGAGGGAGGAAAAACCGTATTTCCATACTCTAGATGGGGACGAATAAATCCAATGAAGATTATGTGGAAAGTTCATCCATCGAACTGGCTGAAAATGCGCTTTAACCTTACCAGTGCAAGGTTTGCTCGGAAGGCATTTTTATCGCAGTTAGCGTAAGACTTCAAATCATATGGTATCAACACCCAGATCTTTTTCAACTTGGGGTACCTCTACAAGGGAGTTGACTCAGTTGTAGTTGTAGTCAGCAACATGTCTCAGGCGGTCTACTTTACATTTTCAGTTGTTAAAGGTAAGTCCATTGTTATCTGCCCAAATTTGAAGTCGAGTTGGATTCACCTGAAGTGCCAGTTCACCCTATTGGTTGCATATCTCTTCAGAGTTTCACATCAGCAAAAAATAATAAATCTGATGATACCTGATGTGAAATATCGTTTACATATATCAAGAAAGACACACTTGAAGCACCTGCCACGAAGAACTGAACACGAATTGCTTGAATGAAATCTATCATACGATAAACACTCCTCAAACTTGTGCTCAACTTTTTCACTGCTTTGTAATTCTTCAATGAGTCATTTCACATGCTTCCACAAAAACGGGAATTGCCATTAATTAAACTCCATGACGTATGACCTTGACTATGAAATGCATCAGGACAATCAAGTAATCTAATGAAATTCTTCATGTCTTGGAAGTCAGTTTCGTGCAATACCTCGTAATTAATACATGCACTTCGAACATCAAGGAACGAGCATTTCAGCATTTATATGAGCGCCTTTTCCAGATTTCGTACGTTAATTCCTGCAATTAGTCCAGTGAAATAGGCTTATCTGGAAATGTCGAATCTTTCGGTAAACTGTACACACCCTTTTCGATGAAAGTAAGTAAGTGAGTCACAATTCCATCATGTTCAACGTTTTAGCTTGTCCTATTTCAGATTTCAAAACTTCCCATTTACTCTTCGAAGGCATCATGATTTGGATGTACATCCAGTTGTTCAATCATATGCTCCATCGCGAAGCCAACATGATAATTATCAGTATTCGAATTGATGTGCTGACTAAAATTTCCTGGACTAGTTCAATTTAGGACAAATAGGACTTGATGAACACAACTGAAGTTGTCTCAGGTCCCTCAGTCGATGGCTTCAAGAGGAAACTTGACCAAAAAAATACTCACTCATGGATTGTCAGATCCCGCTTAGACCAGCCATGTCTGCAGCACATCTCACAATTCACAAGCTGTTGTCATTATCAGTTAGTCATTAACTCATCCATGTCTCGCTTATCATTGTCTCTGTTTATCTCTTTATTATTACACCTTGATCTCAAATTGTCTGCTTTATTAATAAACTAACTAACTTATTTATTAAGTTCTTGAAACCGACATCTTCTGTATTCAAATTTTCCCTTCATTATTCTTCACATTGCAACCGACTGGACTTCTGTCGTGTGATTTATTAACCGCTGGTGTCCGGAGACCTTACTCTCATGAGAAAAACTCACTAACTCAGATCAGAAGATATACAAACCCACAAACATTTATCAAACGGACTAGAATTAGTGCGATCATGTGGCTAGACCACCCGTACTTCACATTACCAAACTCCTGGAACTGTGTCGACACAACGATAAGATATCGCCAACAAATCGGTATGTGGAATTCATAATAAGCAAGAAATCAGTTATAAAGGAATTAACATATGGTGCAAATACTTCATTAAAGCTAGTCGATATAGGTATGATATAAAAGCTTGCCTAATATGATCCCGTGGATTTTCAAACATTATCACGTGTATGTTGAGATTGTTTCAAATAAACACTGTAGTTTGTGAAAGCATGCAAACGTATTTTTTTAAGCATAAACACTTATTTAAACGTTTTCTTTGTTGAATTACTGGACCAAGTGTCAGAATGATAGCACTTCCAGAGAGATAATTCATTGATTAATATAAACCAGAATGTTAGTTTTGTGTGAAAGTTTTTTTCACTGTTAAAGATTCCTAACATTTTATGGTTGAAATGCATCGCTGTCTGTAACACCAATTTATATAAGCTTACCATTTGAGGCTATTTTGTTCTCTTCTGTAATAACAAAATCAATAAATGATATAGAGTCGCTGCCGTAAGCAAACAGGTTTTTTCTTTCGTAGCCATAGTTTCTACTCTGAGAACTGGTAATAAACCAGCTAACTCCACAGTTCACCGTCTCAACCTAAAGTCCTGTTTGAAGAGGCTGGTATCGGCTTATATACATAAGCCGTACTCTAGAAGTTTAATGAAAAGTACAAAAATCTTGTGGTTAATTCTCAGGCTGTGGCAGCCTTTTACTAAATTTGAGGTGACTGTCGTCGGAGATCATCCGTGATGAAGTCCACGAAAGCTGGTTTAACTGACGTGTTGGTGCCTGAACTGATTATTATTTATACCTTACATGGACCTTAAAGCAAAATGGGCATAAGTATCTACCTATTCTGTGGAACGGTTCTTAGTAATCCAAGATTACAGTCAACATGATTTGTTAGATTCTCGAGACCTGTACCAAAGACGAAATAACACAAGCGATAGATGTCGCAAACCAGGCTTTCCTTCACGACGCAAGAGAAAGTAAATCAGTGTAGATGGTGATGCAAAGAAAAGGTAGACTTCATCAGATGTTATTACTGCATTTTGTTAAAGGCTTATCTTCAAAGAAATTTACTGTACGTTTTTCAGCTGGCTTAATTATCACTTACCAATCAAATCACAAGCTTTGAATTCAACAAACATTTTGACTTTACCTTCTGTATATCAAGCACATTTCACATAACACTGTAGGACCTAACATCGTTCAATTCTAGGTTTACTTATTACATTGGGCATTTATTTGTCTACCATGAGCATGGAAACGTTTCATATTACGGTCATTACACGGTGGTTTCGCTTCAACTGACTCGTGAAATCAACTATTAAATTATTATAATATCCACAATAACCCCTTCTGATAATGCTAATTGAAAGGTTAACCGTTTTTTCCATTTGTAGAATGCCCTAAACGAAAGTCCGACTCTTACGTGATAAACATACCAACAACTTTATCCCTAATAGAAAGAATGTAGGAACATAAATTATTCCTGAAAAATACATATGTATATTTTATTTTTTGGTTTTTTGAGTACTATATCGATAACGTGAGTAAACTGTGATTGTGTGTTCATATCACAATGTTTTCTAAGAATTGTTCACTTAGTTCCATAAAAACCATGTGTTAATATCCGCGTAAGAGAAGAGTACAACATTTTCGAGACGACGTTCTGTCATTGTCGTTATCTGTATATTAGATGACTGAAAATAAACGGATTAAGTAAGAACTTGAATTTCAATGTTCCTCAACGTGTATCCAAGTACTTGAATTGACTAGCATGTATAGAAGTAATAAATAAAGTATGATATCACTTGATGGACACAATTAAACCGATATTATAGTAGTATTTGAATGAGTATGCAGTTGTGTGCATTTACTATATGTATTAAACGCCAAAGGTTCTCTAATGACAACGTTTACTTCTAAGCACACTACACAGTAAGTTAGTTCCTACTCTATATAAATAAATTCTATTGAATCACGTTAAACACCTTCTCCTCTGGAAAGTTCAAGATATTAGTGTAACTGTACCTATTCCCCTTGCGTGACAGACGTTAATCGGAATATTGCAAACCGACGTCCACTAAATGGTAATGTGACCTCCATTTCGAGGATAAAAGCAAATAAACTGCATTCCTTAAGACGTTTAATAGCTTTTTCAGATAAGGTTATGTATTTCCCTGTCTAATGACGGCGTTAATAAACCGAATTATCCTTGACAGTACCAATTTAAGTAGTTAACAGATGAGTATTACGGTGATGTTATCCAAATACTCTTAGCTCTGTGAAGCAATAATGTGACTGACCTCTCCAAGTAGCTTTAGTATACACTGTAAGCTTGTCACACCTGACATCGTATAAACCTGACATTTAAACCCGTTAACAACAACTCTCTACCTTCCTGTATTGCTGAGAATGTGAAAATAGGTAAATAGGGATTATTGAGTATTTTATTGGGACATTGTTAATGCACAAAGTGCATTTGATTATGCATCATCTTGAAATATGTTCAAGTAACTTAGGTTTCCAGATGGTTGTGAGTATCTGTATAACTATGGTTGACATTTAATTGGTAGCAGCAATTACCCGCACTAATATGACGCTGGAACTGAATAGGGCATTCATTACTGAAATCACCAAACTGCATCACAAGGCAAGCGCTAGCTTGGAATCCTGAAGGGAAGCGAAAAAGAGGAAGGCCAAAGAACACACTGTGTCGGGAATTGGAAGCAAAAATTTAAAGGATGAACAGCAGCTGGAAACAACCGGAAAGGATTGCTGGCGGGTGGCCTAAGCCCCTCTACGATGGGTATTTATTTATTTCAACACATAAATATCGGTACAAGAGGGCACCAAATATATATGCACACCATATTTGTGTGTGTGGGCTATGATACTGCCCGGGTGCCCAGACCAAAGCACGCGGTTTTCTTAGGGGGCCACACCCCGAGCCTTTGACCTAAAGGTCTGATCCACAAGGCAGTGGAGCATCGTGAGGAGATGCAGTCCCATGGTAGCCGGTGACCAACGATTGGTTCATACGCCATTTGTTCCTGCAAGATACTGGAGCCCATGTGCACCATTGGTTTGGGATCCGGTTAAAGCGCCGGACATTCGCTTTTCGTCCTCTCATTTTCGTAAACAACACCCCGCCACAAGAAGGCAATGAGTAGGACTTCCCTGGCAGAGGCTGTATGCGCGTGGCCGTGTGAGAGCATTTCGAGAGGGAGAACCCACCCCACTCTCGGTCATACCAGGGCATTTGGGGGTAACAGGAGTATGTTGTCCCGGAGTCGGCAGCTGCACAGCATTGTTACCAGGATATACTACTGGAAAACGGAGTTCCTACTCTGCATATGAATACCGTGGGCACATATCACCTACAATTATCTAAATTATGGGTTTTCTTACGCTCTAAAAGTGAGAATTCGACAGTCCCAAATATAATGCAGATTACTAGAGAATTGTTCTCTACCTCTTGAAGTATACTTAATGTACTTGTCTCAATTTTCTCAAAGACGGTTAATAAACAAGTTATGAAATTTCATTGTTTTGGCAAGCATAATCTGCTGGAGTAAAATGACATATGAAACTTTTTTTCATAGTTGTACATGACAGGTGTTTGTATCTTAAGGCAAATAAATGCTTAAATGTATAATGTGGTAAACATGTGTACACGCATTAATTTATTGAATTATAACTGTTAAATACGACCCAATTCAGATCAAACAAATATGTCTGTTAATCTAATTGTAAATAAATTATAAGGAAAGTGGATTAAACACGAATCATTTTGATTTCTTTGTTGGTCAAATAAATCTATTTCACCAGTCCTCGATTTTGCACCTTTTCTCATGTGTTCAAGATTTATGGTAAACGGCTAGGGAATCGCTTCGATCTTTCAATTAGCTAGTTTTTCAATGGTGACCTCAATTAACCTGTTTGAATTTCCCTAAAGGTTGCATTTACCTTGATGAAAAAACTCGTTAAAACCTTTACTTTAAGGATCTGAAATTACTTAAGGTCTTGGCAGAATCTTGGCAATTTGGAGTCATTAGAAGTGTTGAGACTGTGTTGACCCTGAATTACTTGCAAACGAAATCCAGGGTTCCCCGAAAAACCATCAATTTTAAAATCACCTTGTTCAAAACGTTTATTTGTCACCTAAATCATGCTGTTGCGTACTCTAGGAGGTCCTGAAAATAATCAATTTTTGTTCGTGAAATACTATTCGACAGAAATGCAATAGAGTATCAGTTTGAGGTTTAAGTTTGATCTAAATAAATTTAGCAAGGGGGGACATTTATAGTCAGAATTCCACTACCACAATAACTTGCTAAAACAACTAGGAGGCCATATATACAGCGTTCCTATATCTGAAGCATATGATTAGTAGAAACAGTCAATTATTTCACGAGAACCGACAGCAAAAGATACAAAACAAGTGTGAGCTAGGGGACAGGTCAGCGTCCTGAACGTTAGGGCTATGAAACAATTGACAGGTTCAACGACGTATTTTCCGGAGAAGTTTGGTTACAAGGACTTCCGACGTCTGTCAGACTAATTATTTGTCCCCACACCCAACCGTTGGATTATGAGGACCTAACCGACACAGGAAACAAAATTTCAGAGGTCATCTTGTCAGGTTCATCAGTCTTGTAGTGATCCTGTACGAGATCCAAATCAAGGTATGGTGAAACAAAAAAATAATTACTAACTTCTTAATAACGGGGTTGCACTTTGGTGATCAAGGAAATCCTACTCACTTCGTTTCTTTCCCTATTTTATCAACCGCGGATTTTGATAAATAATATTTTTGTGTTGCAGTATCCTTTTAGGCTACCTCTCACTATGTGGAACTGTTGGTATGGATTATATCCCATTAACGCATTGGGATGAATGTAAACTGTAAATTAGAAAATCGAACCTAACTATGTTACCCTGGTTTCTTGTATCTCTTGCATTCTAATTACAGTTTTTCAAGTATTCTAACTGATATCAGCAAAAATGACTATGACCACCAATATAATGTCGGGAACTTCGAAATTTACGCCAGATATATGAAGTACTACTTTTCTACTGAACTTGAAGAATACAAGTCCTACAGTTGTTTATTATTGTTGAATTCAATATGGTGACAGAGATCGCCATGAAACGCATCAATCACAGTCATACTGACGAAACCAGGAAAGCGATATGCTACTCGAGGCCTTTCTAGCAATTATGTGTACCTAGCATTCGCTTGAATTGTTTTATTTGTTTGATAGTAGCACAATTCACTAATTAACTACAATTTCATGTAATATACTGTTAGGAAGTCAGTTATATCACTTGGCTATTGGAGTTTTGGCACCTTGAGCAAACTTTTAGGCCTTTATCGAATAGCTATATGAACGATTTATAACCTCCTTAACTGATATCCACTAAAACTTAAAATCACGATGTCGGCAGTTCAGAGATAAAATAGCTCTGTGTAATGAAGGAAAACCTTGTTTTACGGAAAAACAACAGCATCTATACAAGATAACCAATTGTATAAAAAACACATTTATTTTACAGATCACAGGAGAGGTTATCAAATTAAAATATAAACAAATATATTAAGATGTAACAACAGAAATCTGATAACTTTGTACTTTGAGTACTGAAAAAAATGAATACCCCATCATTGCTGCTATGAAACAGATTGTTTAATAAGTGCACTTTCTAAGATTGCAGGAGCGTCAGGACGTTTGACTGGATCGTAATCCAAAAGTTTGAGAACGAACTCAGTCTAAATAAATGTAAATGACGAAAACATTGTTTAACAAACTTTGATTAAAATCATTAGAGTAAAGAAACTTTGAAAAAATGTTTCTCAGATAATCATTGGAATGTCAGACATTCAAGATTACGATCATTGTCTTAATGGATTCAAAAAACGAACTAGATATTCTACGACATAGTCAATAATGATTTCCAATCTAATCTTTACATATCAACTCAAATTATTTCTTGTGGAAATATGTGCCAGAGAGAGAAAGAGGGAGAGAGTCCATTTTTATAACTGTAGAATAGATGACTAGTAATACCACTGTTTCCGTTATACGTTAACAAATTAAAAACTTAAACATATCAAAACTGATCCATAATGAATCATAGACTATCAATAGAATGATAGAATCGTACGATATCGTCTTCTATCATGTGAAGAGCTTGAACAGACAATTTTTGTAAGAAAATTTGTAGAAAAAGAAACAAGCGTGTAAAAAGTAAAAGTTAATTAACTAATCTAGGCGTCAACAGAAATAGTTCTCATCAACAAATAATGAAATAATAATACGAAATCGATAATTAAAAAATACGTACTGAACTCAGTAAGTAGCTTTATAATACAAGCTAAAAATTATGCCGACTGCTCAGATTAAGCTGAATGAGTGTATTACTTTAACTCAGTGGTCACCAAAATACAGGAAAAACTGTACGTGTAATAATGATCAGTTTGACAAAGAAGCACATATAAGCTGATCATAATAGTATAGCAATCTAAAGATAGCTTTTGTCATGTATTGACAATAACTATCTTCAAGTTAAGTTGTCATCTTCACAAATCACTCAGCCAAACAAAGATTAAGGATCCTATATCAAGTTAGTAGAATGCTATTAAGTCAGTAAGCTAAAAAACAAACAAATTATATAGTGTTTCAATGCAAGTGTAAGAGATTAATTTCAGCAAAATATTTACCTATCAAAGGTCAATGGCTGCATGTATTTATAAAAATCAAATCGATCCTGCCTTGAACAAAAAAGCTCTACATAAAACATTGGACTTCTCACTCTGAACTCTTTAGTTGATCAAGTGTTAAGAACATACACAATGATAGAATCGAACTCCATACCATAGTGTGAGCGATACTAATTGTGAATTGGAATAATATACAAATCCAAATTAAAACATTTAAAGCAAACCAGCACAATTAATCAATATAGAGTTGATAGGACGAGCTAGAACTAGGCCTTGTAGTTGCGAATTCATTGATTTGAGAGTAAAGGGGCTACAAAAATGATATTAACCACTTAATTATATCATTCGATCATATTTATTTTTGTGTTAATAATTTGTGTATAAGCAAGTGATTGTATTAAATAGAAAATAGATTCCTATGGCTAGTGATTTGTTTTTTTAAAAATCTTAAATCAGTAATTCGATCTTGTGAGGAGCTATCACTCGATCACAGAATATTATTTATCGATTAGCATTTATTTTTCTCTTTTTATTTTGATATTCAAGAAATTGTTCATCAACCTTTATAAAATCATAATTTATAGCAAAAATATCTTTAATGAAATACTTTAACTTCCTGTCAAAAAACAGGCATTTTTGTCTTGTTTTATGTAAAATATCATCAAAACAACATGGTAAGAAATAAACTCACTTCGAATGGATTACACATTGTAAATTCCCTAGGAAGTTTTTGATGTTTTGCTCGGGTCAATGTAAATATTCTTTCCATTGATGTATTAAATATTATCAACAATTCGATAAAGATCAATCCCAATGAAAAGATATCCACTTTATGATTATAATTATCCCCTCGTTCCTGAAAGTTTAAACGATTGAAAATTCACGGTTGGATTTACAAAAGTCGTGACAACATTCGTTACATAATAACAGATATATACTTAGTGCAATACCAAGTATTGTTAATAGTGGGGTATACTATGGAACTAGACTCCAGCTTATTATAAGTGGGATATATAACGCCCTAAAGTAATTAAAGGCTCGTTACTGTCATAAACAAGGATTTAATAAATAACCTACTAGCATAATTAATGAACTACTGAGAAAACAAATCCTTTATAATCCAATATAGAGGGATTTTTAAAGCAATTAGTCCCGAGCGATTATCATAATCGCTATAATCAAGAAGACGTGTTTGACCACAGTAAAGAGCCTTTAGCACAAAATAAGCAGTAGTGAAATAAATTCATTTCCTTTGGTCATTTAACTTATAAAAATTTAAACAAACGAATAAAAACATTTTGAACTGTGGTTAGATAGCATTCATTTTCATCAACCAAACTTGACGATAATATTAGCTTCTAGGGGATATTCTAAACTGAGTGAAAAATTTTATGAGTAAACTCTAAGGCATCTTATTCTCGTTCCTCCATAAAACAGACAATCAAGGAAACATACCAACCACTATGGTACATGTGGCATTATGTTGTATCGATGGACTTATAAATTACAAGGAGTCCCTTGATCGATGGAATTTGTTTAAGACAGATAGTCATAAACTAAGTAGGCCAAGTGTAATACATCGTACCCAATCACAATTGATTGATCACTGGGTGGTGATCAATGTCATGCGCGTCTAGTCCTTATTAGTGCAGATCGAATGCTATCGATCATATGGAGCTGGGTGACACGAGATCGAATCCACCAGGGAGCATCAGTCCCCTCAAGATTACAGGTACACCTTGCTGACGAGTGCCAAGTAGCACGAAACACGGGTCAGGGGTTCCCTATCGACTACCTCCAACCACCATCTAATTTCACACCGTACCTAAGGCAAACGAACACATTGAATATGACCTCAACCATATCGCAGGTTTTTTTAAAATTCGACTAAACAGAATTGGAACTATTATTATTATTTTAACACAGATATTGGTACAAGGAGGCACCAAAAACATATGCACCACACAAATCTCATTTAATTTGTGTGAAGGCTGTGATACTGCCCGGGTGCCCAAACCGAAGCAGGTGGTTATCTTAGGGGGCCACACCCCGAGCCTTCAACCTACAGGTCTGACCTACAAGGCAGTGCAGCATCGTGGGGAGATGCAATCCCATGGTAGCCGGTGACCGAAAACTGGTTCATACGCCGTTTGTTCCTTCATGATACTGGTTCGACCGTTGTTGCTACCTTGACGTGGTGGTCGGGCTTGCCTATCGTGATGAAGCAACCGAGCTATACTGACTGCAACAACTGTTCCTCAAGGTCCTACCACGTCAGAAAGGTCGGTTGAAGAGTGGTAAGACTAAAAGCAACAAACCCAAGGTCCGAAGGCGAAGTCGTACTGCAGACTGTACAGAGGTGTGACAGCAGTAAGGTGTTTCCATCAAACAACCAGCATGACAGCGATGCTGCCTTCCCACAAGGAGGGGTGGGGTGGGGTTAGAAAAGTTCGACCTTAAAAATGCACACACGCCTTGTCCCACGAATATCCGTCTCTGGCGGTAAGGTCTCAACAAGTCATTCTGACTGACTGACTGACTGAACTAGTAGTCACCATTTACAGAGACTTAATAATTTCAGCGAAAAAATTAAAAACCAGAGAAGTGTGAGAACCGCCAACATAAATTATGTTTGTACAATAATACAATAAGCTAATCAAATGACAATGATTTCTAAAACATAATTTAGCTAAAATATCTTACTTGCTCAGGACTCATGTATAGATCTGTTCCCACGTGATCAGTATGTCTACGTGTCAATACAGAACGCTTTTGTTGAGCAGTGCTAATTTCTTTCAAAGGATATAGTTGTCGATCGATAATGGCATTGTTATTATTATGCTCTGATTCACCATTCAAATCATTTACAATAGTAGTCACTGAAGAACATGAGGGCTGCTCCCCTTGTTTATTGCAATTAATACAAGAGCTGTCTGATTGATTTAATTTATCATCAACCATAGAAGTAACTAAACCAAAATCTGCAAGTTTAAGACGATTGGTTAAATCAAACAGGATATTTGAAGGTTTCAAATCACGATGCATTAAAGAATGATCATGTAAATAAGCTACAGCTTCAACAATTTGACGAAACATACAAATCAATTCAACTCGTGGTGGACGTGATTCTGGAATACTATGAGAAACAAGCCAATCACGTAAACTTATTGGAGAACATAATTGCATTTGAATGTACAAGTAGCATGTATATTTAGTTTCATTTTTAGATTTATCTTTGATGGATTGTTCTACAAGGCTTGAACCATCTAATGAAAGTGTTTCAGTACGGATTTGATTATCAAAAACGATAAGACTGTCATCCAAACAAGCTTTTGAAAGCTTTCGATAGCTGAAATGCAATCAAAAATAAAACAACTGGAAAATATTCCCAATATAGAAAAAGGTTTGAGTCCTATAAACATCAGTCATAATTGAATGAGATTAACAGAGCATAAGATAATTCAAAACTTCTCACAAACTCTGAATATTTTGCTTCTCCAGCTGAGCAAGTTTTTGAACAGACGATATAAAGTTGAAATAAGAGGATTATATTCGTTTAACACTTCGAGAGAAAATTCGGTTATGAAGTAGGATTTTATAAGTGGAAGCGAGCTATGATATTAGAAATGGATGAATAGAATGTCGATTGGTATATGCAATGCAGTGATACAGTGTAAACGGGTGAAGACTGTTTCCAAGATTGGAGGAATATTGACATTAGCCTCCATTTGAACCGATACTAGAAGATAAAACAGCTAGCTGATAAAGTAGATTCTCTTCTATTTAAATAATATGCTTAAATACAAAATAGTGACACAAAATAAACACTACGAGATGTCATAAACGATTGGAGAATACCAGTTTTATGGACAGCGCACCCTCTAAAGAATTGAAACCTTGCCCATTTTATCATCTCCTTCTACAAAATGATGCGGGATAGTTCAAAGGTGAAATTGTTAAGCAAGTGATACTTTTGACCTATTTAATGTATTATTCAGTTTTCATGAAAGTCACGTTTCTGTTCAATTTGTAAATTATAACCCCATGAGTGGAATATTGTTGCTGAAGGCACTCCTCGATCACTTGCTGATTACCACTGAGGAATAAATGCTAGAATGGAGGGTTCTTATGCTACAGGATAATAAAAATCAATAGTTCATTTTAAGTTGATTAGTCCATGTTTATTAACAAATAAAAATCCAGTCAGAATAATTCTAAACCTAGAGTTAATAACCCTAATTTACATAATAAGAAATCACGCACCTGGAGTGATGAGACTCATTCAATCCTATTGAGCTTTTATCTACGCAAAGCGATACACTTGAATGGCGCGAATCGATATTTGACGAAAAGAGAGTATTTGATAGACAATTCTCATTGTTCCCACAATCTGTACAGTCGCCGCTTCTGGAAGTTAAGTCGTCAGATAAACCGAGTACTAATTCATCATGTGACTCTTGCCAACCAGCAGGAGGATATTCCTTCCAAGCCCGATGGTAGCGGACAATGCCTGGATGGTCAAGTGTAGCTAAAGCTGAGAGAAGAAGCACAAAACAAAAAAGATGTCGCATGGAATTGTGTACAAAATCTATTTTTAATACTGAAAAACTAATTCCATTATCGATCTATGAATGTACTAGAAATAGAACTTCAGAAAATCCACAGGTGAATTAACTAAACCAAAATACATGTATAAACAAAAAGAATAAATAGAATATTTCTAGCCTTAATAATGCCAGCAATAATATGAATTAAGATCACAATAATATAAGGAAATACGGGTTAGTTACTATTTTGGGGACAGAGATAATAAAGATTAAAACTGAATGGAAAAATACATAGGTAACTACTAAAAGCTAAGCAAAAATCATTCAGACTATAACTTACAGTAATTAATACAACGGAAGGAATTAGAAATTTGATAACGTTCGATAATAGATACGAAATAATACGGTCAGTATGATCAATAAGACTTGACTAAACTGATGGCGAAATAAGTAACACAGACATTCGATATCCGACCAATAATTAAGAACCGAATATGTGCCCACAATAGCTTATCAACTGAAATACAAGCGGTTCACACAGAGTGAGTCTAGAGTACAAATCAACAGTGGACGACATTTGCAATATTATATATATATATATATATATATATATATATATAGCATAGTCGGATGGATCATGCTTTGCTCAATCGCTGAGTACTGTTACAGGTATGAGGGTGGTTATCACTTCCCGGTTGCCAATACCGTAGAAGGGATCTTCTAGAGGTAACTGTAAAAAGAACTGAGTTAGAGTTGGTCTTAGTTACCTGAGAGTGACCGCAGTGCCCAAGGGACAACTGTTTGAGGCCGGTAAAACAATGTGTTAACTCAGTACTTGTTGAGACCTTACCTCTAGAGACGGATATTCGTGGGACAAGGCGTGTGTGCATTTTTAAGGTCGAACTTTTCTAACCCCACCCCACCCCTCCTTGTGGGAAGGCAGCATCGCTGTCATGCTGGTTGTTTGACGGAAACACCTTACTGCCGACATACTTCTGTACAGTCTGCAGTGCGACTTCGCCCTCTGACCTTGGGTTTGGTGTCTTTAGTCTTACCGTCCTTCAACCAACCTGTCTGGTATGGTAGGACATTGAGGAACGATTGTTTCAGCCAGCATAGCCCGACTGGTTCATCACGATAGGTAAGCCCGACCACCATATCAAAACAGCAGTAACGGTCGGGAGTTCATTCGCTAATCACGCCTTACCATGACTAGTATACCAGTAATCAATCAGGCTTCAATTCACTTAAAGATTTCAAGTATTAAATGAATGGGAATTATTAGACTTCTTGATGTTAATTAAACTACTCATGTTGCATAATCATAGTTACATGAATATGAAAAGCTGAAAACAACAAAAAGGATAGTGTTATCCCATAAAACACCCGCAGATTATGAATGATACAAAAAGCAACGGTATATATATAAATATATACCTTAGATTTAAAAGCTGTTGGAAGCTAGTTGGTTGTCAAGCCATCTCTATAAACTGGTTGAATGTTGAACAGATAAATATAACGGTTATTCAATCAAATATCTACTTTCATATGAAATAGCTAGCAAGATTTGTATACTAAAAGTCAGTGAATCACTATATCATTCCGATTTCGTTGACATTAAACAAGCTTATAAATAAATATGCAACAAGCTTAAATTCACACAGTGTTTGCTATCGCGGTGACGAAAGTTGTGCAATTCGAAATTATAAATATTTTTATTTCATGCATACCTTTTACTTCTCGTAAAAATATATTTTTATCATCGTCGGTATCGTTCATTTTAATACGTTTGATAGCATAACGACAACCATCAAGACGATTTTCAACTTCAAACACTTGACCGAAACCACCACGTCCAAGTCGACGTATATACTTGAAATCTGTTTCAAATGATGAAACAAAACTAGGTGGTTGCATATTGGCAGTATTAAGCAGAGACTGACATGAAGGATTTGTTGTTAAGTTATTCGGAGTTGAACATGATGGACATTTTGGTAAATCACACAAGTCTCCCGATGAACTATGTGTTTTGACAACAACTGATTCCAAATTACATGGCTCAGACTGAAACGAATAGTTTTTCAACCTAAATTAATGAAAAAAACAATAACTACGTCAACAATAAATATACTTTTATTATATCCCGATGAATAGAAAATTGTATTTCTGACGTTTCGTGACTTGATGTACGTCACTTCTGTAGAACAAATAAAACTACGTAAATTTAAAGACAGAAAAATCCTACTTAAAATTAGTAGTAAGTCATTTTTAGTGCCAGTCACCAATCCAAAGTGTATTGATTTGAACATTTATTTCGTATTCAATAAATCATGAACCCGGTGTGGCTAATATCAATTTTGATTGGTATTTTAGATAACGAATTTACAAAGCATGGGTTTCTGTACCCGCTTTTAGGTCATATTTAAGGTGTGAAGGTTAGTGGAACTACACGGAGGTTTAAACGTTAGTAGGTAGGTGGAGAGAGATTCAAATGTATGACTTAATAGTTGGACGCTGAGTGTTTTAGCTATTAAGCCACTCTTCTGCTTGGTGCTTTAGTGTTTTATCCATGATTAAACGCTTGTAATATAAAAAAAACTATCACTTTTCTGCTTACTGTGTAGCACTGGCAACAAATAGCTACATCATATGTAGATTGTAGGAATCACTAAATGTTAAGAATGGTTGTCATAAATTGAAAGACTATTTTGAGAAAAATATATGACGGCATATTACTCAAAAATGACAGCTAATAGGAAAATTCACAAAAAGTATCACAATTTACCACCTTCAGCCTACTGGAATGATGATAAGTCAGTTTAAGTAACTGTTCATAAGAATTCGTAACAATCGAAACTCCCTACAAAGTTTCATTGTTCAATGTAAATTCGTAGAGCAAATAACGTGTATCATCAATAAAAACAAAACAATCACTAGCAGATATGCTTTGTTTGTAGGTAAAATGATTAAACAAATAGCTTGGACAGAAGTCACAAATCCTATAAAAGACCAATAACTATTGACTTCATTTTACTTCTAAAGAATCTAAGAGATTTGACAAAACAACAATTATTATTAATACCATTCTGAATTTCAATATTTTTATTAATAATGATGGGCTATACTTAGTCCGTAATTATTTAATCTTCCACGTTTAAAAAATAACAAAATTGAATATATTAGCTACTGCTACTGTATTTATTACCATTTGAAAAGAATCAACAGCTCATCCTTTAGATACCTTATCATGTTTTTTTTCAAGGATGCATATTAAAACTCCATAGAAGTATGCTAACAAATATGTAGGCATTAAAATATTAGTTATAAGTATAAGTTTTGTCAAATAACAGTATTGTTGATTCATCCGTCATCTTATACACTCGTGGTTGTTATCGATTATCTCTTTTTACATAATTTAGTAGGATATAAAACTCAAAGTTAATTCAACATTAGACTAAAACATTTAAAACGATTTCAATAACAACTAAAGTATTTTACTTCAAAAGAAAGATGTATTAGTCTAACATCAACCCACACCCTACTATTCTAAGCAACTCGCATTAGCTCATTGTTTTGTAATCCAAAGGATAACATACTAAAAAGATCGCATTTCCCAATCTATATTTTTTGAAAGCAATACAGGAGTATGGTTTAGATATACAGATAATTCTGTCCTAGATATCACTATCCAAGTGTAAAGATGTATTAGAATTAGGTGAATCCTAGGTATTATAATGAAACTAATGTAAAACACATAAAACAGACTATTTACCAGTCCGTGTACTTTACAACCTTAAATCTCAACATTGTGCAATTAATGCAGTAAATAAATAACAATCAACTGGCAAATTACTAAAAGATAAATAGAATAGGAAAGGTTTATTTAAGCATATTGCCTTTTTTGGAAAAAAGAAACCTACTGTGTATCATAGTTAATCCTCGCATTCATTATCCAATGTGCCGTAAAATAAATTACTCCAGTCAAAACTACCAATTGCATGAAATGTGTAGACAGATTAAATCCTAACGACCTACTATTTTCAATACCAGACGGTGAATGATTTACAGCAATCTCACTGGCACGTAATAGGAGCATAAGTAAATCGTTTGCACTGTCAAGAAATTGTCCTGGTATACCACTAGTGTCACTCATTTGAATATCAGTCGAAGTTAAAACCTTTTCAGGTATCGTTTCCGGTTGAAAATCATGTATAGGCTTGAATTGTCCCACGTTACTTGGAAATCCTAAAGCGGTAGCTTTTTCAATTGTTTCCTCAACACTATCATATAAAATAAATGGTTGTGTATATTTTTCCAATTTGGGCGATTTTGAATAGGATGCTTGATAGTAGCCAGTTAAATCAGAACGACGATTATTCAGTGATTCAGCCGAATGTATAGATAAACTTTTAGACAGATTTATCTTTTCCGGATTGGGAAGATCAACACCATCTTCAGTCTGAATTAAAGGGATAGAACATGATAACATAATTATTTAGAATAATATTAATTGAGAACTTATCTACGCGTACAGGAAAACATAAAAAGGTCAATGAATTCTTTTATAATGCAAACATCTGAGAAAACTCACAACGGTTGACTTTAGCACTGATTAAATTTGAGTCTACCGCTTACTAGTGAACCAGTTTAAGACATCAAAGTAAATCTCAAAACTCAAATGAAATTGTGAAAAATGGTTTTAGAATCCGTTAAATATGATATCAATTGGTGTCAGATCTACAAAACTTCAAGTCCGAATTCATATAATTGCTAAGTTCGTAATAAGCACAAACTCTACGGCACACTTAACCACAATGTATTATTTTAATAACCATGATAAAGAGAGGTTGTACTCTTGAATTACATTAAAAGTGGTTCATATAAACCTTACACGAAACACTTTATTGTAAACAAAATGTAGGACTTTGTAGAATATACAAGTGTTATTACATCGATTACTTTTGTACTTTATAAAACGAAGGGCCAAAACCATAGTTACTATAATAAAGTTTGTCTGAAGCAAGGTTTCAGTGTTTGACAAACTGACTGATTATATCACTTCTAAAAATGAACCCTGTGGTTAAGTTCACAACTTCTATTCAACACCACATGATTGCATTGCATGAACTTACTTGAACATATAGCTGACCATTTAAGCTACCAAGATAAATAAGACGATCGCGTGATGGACATTTAGGTTTTTGTTTACGTGATGAGGAAAGAGTATATTTCCCATTGAACAGATTCAAACCCTTTCCTTTTAATGATCCAAAATTTGAAATGGCAGTTGTTTTTTCCAATTCATTCACCTTTTCAATTAATAGTAAGGCAACTCTGTCATCTAAAATGATCATTAACATTTCACCATTATTGGAAGTTAAATTACAATGTCTACATAAAAAATACATGTACAACATTAATCGAACACAATGTCTGGGAAAAACGAGTGGGAAATTGTTATATTTCTAGTGTATAATTATTAAGTAACTAAACTATGCATATTCATATTCCTCTTATTATAAGTTTTATTTTGACCCATAAACTATTATTATAAGTTTTACCATTCTTGAGTTATATTTACTTTACTTACGCCCGTTACTCCTCATGAAGGAGCATAGGCCGCTCACCAGCATTCTCCATCCAACGCTGTCCTGGGCAATCCTTTCCAGTTCCTATTCATCCTTTTCATATCTGCTTACCAGTACTGCCAAGTTGCATCTCCTCATTTCCGTTGCTATTTGACTGGTCTTCCCGGTCTCCCACATTGTACGAGTATTCCACGTACCTAAATAAGTTGTTGCTCTGGTTGTCAGAAGGGACATAGGCCTTGTGACTTCCGAAGGAACTCGGCTTTCCTCATGAGGCGTCATAGTTCTTCTAAATGAAGACCTTCTAACTCCCAGGGCAGAGTTTAAATGGTTTGAATTATTTTTTCTGGTTAGCGTTTTTCTAGTGAGTTAGTTTTCTACGGGATGGGGTCGCTAACCCCATGCTCCTCCTTTACCCGGGCTTAGGACCGGCAGTAACTCTAGAAGAGCTACAGGCGGAGTTTTTCTTAAATTATCCCCAGTATATTAATTACTACCTCTCTCATTCACAGCCACATCTGGCTAATTCTTGTACAAATCTTATTTCATATTTTATTGATACGTTGTGGTCTGTTTGATTGGTATATAGACTCAGTATGTTTGAAATATAATGATTCATATCGCAGAGGCTGAGACTGGTGTTCTGGACTTAACTGGATAGCCTATGTGGAAAGCAGGGCCAATCAGAACTCTAGGCTGCTCATACGGGTTTACGCGTCATTGATCCGATCGATAAGTCACTGCACATTAATTGGCGGTCACAAGTTATAACAGAAATAAATCATTATATGCACAAACGATAGATACTAAGTGAATTCAGACATTATGAATGATTCCATAGTTCTACCTACAGCAAAATATTTGAACTCGGAATCGAAGACAGTGTTGAAAATTGAATTTTTTTGCTTCACATTAATTGTCTACATGAAATTAGCTCCGTTTGTATTCATGGATGATTCTTGGAGTGAAATAATTAATGAACCATAATGTATGATAAAAAAAGATCATGTATAGTTATTGTGGAAGTAATTATATATGTTGGGAAATGAGTCTACTGAGATTAAGAAGTATTAAATACAACTCACTTTGTATACTCGATAAAAAAGTAAACTGTAGTCCTATTTCCTAACAAGATTTCTTGATTAGCATAGAGATTTTAAACACTAGTTTATTCAATCGACAGTTAATGGTATTACAGAAAAACTATAAAAATACATTTCTGGTTACGATGTTTCTGAAGAACGTCAAATTTGGAGACAGTTTATGTAACGGATTGACTTTAATCAGATGACTACTAAACACTAAGGAGTGTTGAACAGATATTTCCTTTCCCCTTCAGGACTCACAGCGGCATGCACTTATGAATCAAAAGGGATTAGACTTAAAATCTTAGGATATTGCAGCGAACGAGCAATTTTAGGTCGATGAGTTAGGGTCCGATTCTCCACACTAGTAGCCCCAAGTCAATCAAGAATGATCTACGACCGTAGGCCATAACCAACTATAATATCAGTTTCACATTCCCTACTTGTCTTAGCTCCATTGATCGCAATTTCCCATCAGAGCGTTGAGAATTCTTGCTCAGTCGAAACCAACAAAATCAGACGCTCTTTGCGAACATCTTACAACAATAATATTTATGATCTCACTAGTGACTAATGGGAATCTCTACTGCCACTACAGGGAGGCTAGATTTATTCTATCACTATCGTCTCTGAAGAACAGCTTGCGCTTGGAAATGATAATGGACTAGCATTAGTGACATTTAGACAGTATTTGAGTATGGTAGAAACTGGTATTAATGATTATGTAGCGCGGAGCAGGGAACAGTTAATTGTGAAGTTAACATCTACTGACATTATAACTCATAGAGTAAGGTTACACCAGTCAACTACAACGTAGAACCTGGTAAATACGTGCATCAGTCCAAATTAAAATGCTCCATTAGTACAGAGAGATGAAATTATGAGTTAAAGTTCCAGAACAGTAGAGTTGGTAACAGTACGAGTGGTGATTGAAAAGATTAGGCATCGAAGATACGATTCAGCACTATATATAACAAGGTGTTGTGACGAATTCAAAAGCTTAGAATTTGGGGGAACACAAAGAATGGATGTACCTGTGCAATTCCAAACGATTGTGATTCACGTCATTTAAAGTCTCCAATGGTTGGTCATGATAATCACGAGGACCCTAGACAGGTAGTCTACACCAATTGTCAATAAATTCATGAACTGATGTCATGCTTTGGTTTATCCGCCCTTAACTTTCTTCCAGCTTACTCCTACACCACACATCACCCGTCGAGGTAGGTGGTGGTTGGACATATGTAACACATATCTCAATCACCTCAGTTTATGGAGATTTACTATCAAGTGACTTACCAAGTACCTTATTCCTAACCCAGGCATTGCTTATTCTCTTCAGAATTTATTTGTCATAACCTTAAAAATAGCAATACCCAGATATTCTTTCCAACATAAAATCTATAGCATAATATGTATATTATTTGAAACGTTGAACATTAATCAATCGTTTAAGTCAGTGATATTGCATTGTGTATAATAAAACGATATGACTGTATAATACCAGATAATATAGACTTAGTGAATTTATAACTATATATATATCAAGGTCAGTGAGATAGCAGTTAATTAAAAACCATCTCGCCATCCAGTGATAATCAACTCACTAAACTAAACATCTTTGCTTTTTACATAAACAATAAAATATGCTTTGATAAAGAAGGAATCGCTAATGGTCATTTATATGAATGGTTTGTTTCTAAGCATAACTTATGTCGATTATTACTTCATGGAATTATCATTGCATTGTGACACATTTCTCGACCTCCCATTACACCAAGTTTCTATGTTTGATCTTTCATCTATCTAAAATAACCGGGAATAGCCTTAAAATTTTCGTATTTTTTATTTATTATTTACTTGAACACATGAATATTGGTACAAGAGAGCGCCTATATAAATGCGCCACACAAAACAATGAGAATTCGAAGAGAAAAAAAGAACAATAACGAACAGACCAGTGTAAGGTAGTGTAATAATAATAATAATGGGGGGGACAGAAACGTACAATCAGAAGAAGTCTTTCAGTTAAGGGAGACACAACCACTTTTTATGAAGAAAATAAGAGGTTACAGCAGGATCGCCACTGGCTTTTATTCTGAGTCATATCTGATAACGTCTCTAGCCACTGTGTTGCACCATCTCTCGGACCCCAACCAGGGAGTCGTGAAGGACCAACACAAGCCAGTCCTTTGCAGCTTTCTTTCATACCACGACACCATGTCATGCACTGACCACCTCTCCGCTTTTTCTAACCAGTTCCAGCGTCGGCAAATAATGCACGACGTGGAATTCTCTGGGACGACATTCGTAGAACATGTCCAAGCCACCGAAATCGATGTTTCAAGATAGTGACACCAATTGAATTATCGTCTCTGTGCCCGAACACAAGTCATTTATTCACCCTCTTTTTTATTCCCACTTTATGTATCCTTGTTTTTCGATTTAAACAGCAGCTCGCCTATGGTGGAAACTCGGTTCTATCTAAATTTTCGTGATCTTATTGACAGATAAAGCCAAAGATATAAGGATAGTATGGTATTCTTAGATATATTATTCCAATCACTTGGATAATATTTTACTTAATTCCGTTTGGGTACCTGGATAGTATTAGTAACCTTTGCACAAACAGATGACTCAACCAGAGTGCATAACCCAGTACTTAGTAAATTATTTACAAGTTGTAACACTAATCGTCAAATGAGCTTCTAGGTTAGGTATGGTAATGAATGGTCGAGGAACATCAACCCTTTAACATCCGAAGGAAAACAGTGAAGTCAAAAGTGAGTGTCATTGAGTTACAATTGATTTTCTCACAAAGTAAACAATAAAGGAACCAACTGCCTGATTTTAATACGATTTTTAGCAAAAGTTGACATCGATGGTTTATCGCATAAGATAACTAACTCGTAAATATTAGTTTGCAGATAAAAATCACAATACAACTAATTGGCTCAGAGCAACATATGAAGATACGTTATGTATGTTACACCTGTAGTATATATAACACTTGACATACACTGAATAGGAAAACTTACACATAAACAATGACAATGGTCTTAAGTTTTGTAGGTCCCTACGATAAATCCAAGCCTTTGAAATCCTTGATTTAAAGTTGTAGGACCATATTTCTTCAGACTGTAAACCTTTCGTTCTTGCAGTTATTGTATGTTTGTCTAGTCCAATATCCCAATCTGGTTCTTCCATATCAATAAATGACTCATCCACAAACTTTTTGTGAGCATGCTAAAGATAAAAAAGCCAAGTATTACGAGACAGTCATCATATAGTGAGATCTATCCCATCCTGTTTTAAATTACCGATTATTGTTGTTAGACAACAGCTATGGGGTAATAATGAAATCATATATGTATACATCAAATGTTATTCCAAGTATGATAATAGGTTAATCTTCCTTGTGACATTTTAATATGAGTGAGATCAAAAAAGAGAAAGATTTATAACATGATATTACAGTAGGACTCTCATCATTCAGCTAAATTCAGATTTTATACTTGGCCAGACGCCGTTTATTACTAGACTTCAGTATCTAAGTTTATTAACCAGAATATAATGTTATATTGTAATAAATCCAGTTACATGAAATGGCATTATCCAAATACAATTTAATAGGTTTTAGGTTAATAAAAGGTTCAACATCGCCGATTATTTGTTTACGCTGGGAATGGTTGTTAAGAGCAGAGAGGGTTAGAGTATGACATGGCACCAGGGACGAAAAAACGATGTATACGACTGGCATCTGTTTTACGTGCGCTTATCCGGGGACCATGTGGCATCTTCGTCTGGTCTTGCTGGCGTTGGTGTCGCATTAAGCGCTAGAGCTGAGGCAGCTCTAATCGATTGGATCCTTAGTAACAGTCGGTTATGTGCTGCTAGATTAGAAAGTTCCATTAAAGTGAAAAGAAATCGGCGTGAGAAACGATGTCTTTTCGTCATCTTCGCATATGCCCCGACAGATTGCAGCCCGGATGCAATCAAGGATGAGTTTTACCACCAGTTATCTGTTCTTCTCCAGAAAGTGCGTTCGACAGATATTGTAGTACTAGCTGGAGACTTGAATACTCAGGTAGGGCGTCTAGGCACAGAAGAGAGTCGTTAAGGTGGCCGATGGGGACTCGTTGGTCGCAGGTCAGATAACGGAGACCGTCTACTGCGACTGTGCACAGACCACAACCTGTTTCTGGCTAGCACTAACTTTCGGCACAGTCATCGCCGATGTGCCACCTGGCGTCCTCCCTCTGCATCTCAAGCCTGGACTCAGATTGATCACATCGCGGTCAGCTACCGCTGGCGTGGTTGTGTACAAGACTGCCGCTCCTTTTAAAGTACCTATCTGGACTCTGATCATGCCTTGGTCTGCGCCAATCTTACCTTACTTTTCAGTGGCCAGAGGGGTGATCGTCACCAAAGGATTGATGTCAGCAAATCGGTTGCAACTTCTGTTGCTAATAAGTATCCAACCGAGCTAGTTTCTAGGCTAGCTACCATTCCACCGAAAAGTATAGATGAGCATTGGTTGCAATTGCATGACGCCATGAAAATGGCGGGTACAGTCAGTTGTGGGTTCGCGAAACGTCCCTCTTATAAGCACTGGGTTTCTTCTGGTTCCTTACAACTCATCGAGATCCGTCGTTCTACTCCGGGTGACCGTGAGTTTGACCACAAACGAAGGATGTTACGTAAGGAAATTGGGCAAAGCTTGCGTAAGGACCGAGAAGCCTGGTGGTCGGAGCATGCTAATGAGTTGGAAGCAGCAGCTGCACCTGGTAATTACCGGAAGCCCTTCCAACTCATCCGAGCCACTGGCAGCAAGAAGTCTGGTGTGAGCGAAACAATCTGCGAGGATGATGGGATGCCAATCACTAACATCCATCGACGTCTTGGACGATGGGCAGAATTTTTCGAAGGGTAGTTCAACTGGCCTGCTGCTCCGGCAACATCGGTCAGACTGTCCTGCCCTCCATGGCCGGTGACGACTGATCCACTAAATGAGGCGGAAGTCCGCAAGGAACTCCAACTCTTGAAGCGCCACAAATTACCTGGCCCAGATGACTTACCTCCGGGTCATTTCTGGCTAAGGAACTCACTGTGTTGCTTACCAAGGTCTCGGAGCTAGAGAGTGTTCCAACGTCATGGAATGAGTCGACAGTTGTCCCTATCTTTAAAAAGGGTTCACGTCGTTCCTGTAACAACTATCGGGGGATAAGTCTACTTCCGATTGCGTCCAAGCTATTGGCTTCCGTCATTCTTCGTAGGTTGTTCAAAACCCGAGAAAGATTGACTCGCGAGGAGCAGGCTGGGTTTCGTTCTGGTCGAGGATGTATTGATCATATCTTCACCCTCCGCCAAATGTCAGAACACCGCCATACTTATCAAAGGCCAACAATCGTAGTGTTTCTTGACATCAGGGCTGCCTTCGATTCGTTGGACAGGACTGCTCTCTGGGATTGTCTATTGAAGAAGGGTGTGCCTGAGAAGTTTATTAGCATCCTGAAAGCCCTATATACAAACACCTCAGGCAGAGTAAGGGCATACAACCACCTCTCTCCATTGTTCCATTCGAGTAGTGGGGTTAGGCAGGGTTGCCCAATCTCACCATTCCTCTTCAACTTTGTCATCGATGACATTCTGGAAACAGCTCTGATGGATGTAAGTAATGGCGTTGTAGATCTGCTGCTTGGAGAAAGACTTCTCGACCTTGAGTATGCGGACGATATTGTCTTACTGTGCGATAATGCCCAAGGCATGCAATCCGCACTTAATCAGTTGGCAATCAGTGTCCGTAGGTATGGTATGTGCTTTGCACCTTCGAAGTGCAAAGTACTCCTACAAGACTGGCAGGATTCCAATCCTGTACTCACCCTAGATGGTGAACAGATAGACGTAGTCGAGAAGTTTGTGTATCTGGGTAGCTGTATAAGTGCTGGTGGGGGTGTGAGTGATGAGATCAATGCAGGAATAGTGAAAGCCAGAGAGGCTTATGCCAATCTGGGCAACCTTTGGAGCCTTCGTGATGTAAGTCTGGCTGTAAAAGGCCGGATCTACAACGCGTCGGTGAGAGCAGTTCTGCTCTATCTTTGTGAAACCTGGACTCTCCAAGTTGAAGATGTTAGACGACTCTCTGTGTTTGATTATCGTTGTCTCCGAAGGATTGCTGACATCCAGTGGCAACACCATGTCAGTAATGCAGAAGTTCGGCATCGCGTGTTCGGGCATAGAGATGATAATGCAATCGATGTCACCATCTTGAAACACCGACTTCGGTGGCTTGGACATGTTCTACGAATGTCGTCCCAGAGAATTCCACGTCGTGCATTATTTGCCGACGCTGGAACTGGTTAGAAAAAGCGGAGAGGTGGTCAGTGCATGACATGGTGTCGTGGTATGAAAGAAAGCTGCAAAGGACTGGCTTGTGTTGGTCCTTCACGACTCCCTGGTTGGGGTCCGAGAGATGGTGCAACACAGTGGCTAGAGACGTTATCAGATATGACTCAGAATAAAAGCCAGTGGCGATCCTGCTGTAACCTCTTATTTTCTTCATAAAAAGTGGTTGTGTCTCCCTTAACTGAAAGACTTCTTCTGATTGTACGTTTCTGTCCCCCCCCCATTATTATTATTATTATTACACTACCTTACACTGGTCTGTTCGTTATTGTTCTTTTTTTCTCTTCGAATTCTCATTGTTTTGTGTGGCGCATTTATATAGGCGCTCTCTTGTACCAATATTTATGTGTTCAAATAAATAAATAGGCACATAAATGCATCGGTCCAAATTGCCATACCTCATTAACACGACAAGATGGACAACGGATTCATAAAAGTAGTTAATTCAATGGTGGTAATATATAAAAGAAAGATTGCAATAAGGATATAGTACAGGAAGAAAGAATTAGTTAGTAGAAAGAAAGACATGAAGCAATTTTAATCTCTTAGTTTAAGGGAAGATAGAGAGTGTATACACCGACGCCATTGTGATCGATTCTGAGCCATGTCACCAAGAGTCTCCAACCATTGGTTACGGCAGTCATGCGGACCCCAACCAAGTAGTCTGCATCTACCAACATGGCTCAGACTAGAAGTTAGTTACTTCAAGCACTGATGCCACGTTTTGGTTTGGCCGCCCCTAACTTTCTTCCAACCATCCCGAACGCCGGTTAGCATTGCACGTCGTGGTAATCGGTGTTCAGGCATACGTAACACGTGGCCCAACCATCTCAGTCGATGAAGATTCACAACCTCATCAGCTGATTTACCATCATTCCCTAATACCCTGCGTCTAACCTCACTATTACTTACCCGGTGATCCCAGTAGATGCAAGCAATATTTCTAAGACATCGGTCATTAAATACTAGTAGCTTACGAGTATCCTCTACTCTTAATGGCCACGTTTAGCAGACGTAAAGTAGAACAGAAGGAACTGCTGAAAAGTATACTCGTCCCTTAATTGATAGACGGATATCTCGCCTTCGCCAAAGGTGACGTAAGTTGGCAAAAGCCAAACGAGCTTTTCGAATCCGTGCTGAGATTTCGTCAGACACCAACCCATTAGAGCTGATCAGACTTCCAAGATAAGTGAAATTGTCAACGCGTTCGACTACTTCACTCCCTATCCTTAGTTCAAGTGTTGACGCAGGCCAGTCCTGAAGCAACAACTTGCATTTAGAGAGAGAGAGAGAAGCGCATTCCAAACATTCTGGCATTGTTGCCCAGTGCTACCAGAAGACTCTGCATTCTATCAGCGTCTTCACCAAACAGGACTATGTCATCCGCGTATTCTAAGTCGATAAGTGGACCTCCTGGAAGGAGATCAATACTCGAGAATTCAGTCGACGAGAATGTTATTTCCATCAATAGGTCTATGATGAAGTTAAACAAAAATGGAGAAAGTGGTTCTTTGTAACCCTGTGGTTTAAATCACTAGTAGATATCATTCCTATTTCCACAGCTGTTTGGATATCTTTCCAAGCAACATCTGGGCCAGCATCGTTTTCAGAACTACCTAGGTTTGACCTCAGTTGTTCCTGGAACCTACGTTTGGTTTTCTCGTTAGTCAATTCAGTTCCAATGGGTTTTTTTAGTATGGATTTTTTGCGCCCAGTGAGGCGTAAGCAAATGCGTGCCCGTATTAGAGCATGGTCAGAGTCCAAGTAGGTACTCCAGAATGAGCAACAATCTTCTATCGACCCTCTTCAACGATGACTGATGGCAATATAGTCTATTTGAGTCCATCGTTGGTTTGGTGTAGGGGGTCTCCGTGTTAGACGATGTCTCTCCTTATGCTCAAAATTTGTGTTTGCTAAAAATAAACGATTAGTAATACAGTGGTCTTGAGTGCTGTTAGAGGTGGGGATTAGTTTAACTAATATAGTATCTAAAATACTAGCCTCGATAATTATCGGACTCCTAACTAAGACTCGTGAACTGCAAACACGAGGAAGTCAAGCTGGCTTTAGACCTGGTCGTGGCTGCATCGACCACATATTCACCATTAATCAGGTCCTAGAACACAGACATACTTGATGGTCTTTTTTGACTTGAAAGCAGCATTTGACTCGGTAAACCGCGAGATTCTGTGACAGTGTCTGTCATTGAAAGGCGTACCTCAGAAGTACATAAACCTTGTGAAGGCTCTTCACTCGAACACTACTAGTCGAGTCAGAGCTTATGGCAAACTATCATCTGCTTTTGCAACCTCAAGTGGTGTCCGTCAAGGCTGTCCACTTTCTCTATTTTTGTTTAACTTCATCATAGACCTATTGATGGAAATAACATTCTCGTCGACTGAATTCTCGAGTATTGATCTCCATGCAGGAGGTCTGATCAGCCCTAATGGGTTGGTGTCTGACGAAATCTCAGCACGGATTCGAAAAGCTCGTTTGGCTTTTGCCAACTTACGTCACCTATGGCGAAGGCGAGATATCCGTCTATCAATTAAGGGACGAGTATACTTTTCAGCAGTTCCTTCTGTTCTACTTTACGTCTGCTAAACGTGGCCATTAAGAGTAGAGGATACTCGTAAGCTACTAGTATTTAATGACCGATGTCTTAGAAATATTGCTTGCATCTACTGGGATCACCGGGTAAGTAATAGTGAGGTTAGACGCAGGGTATTAGGGAATGATGGTAAATCAGCTGATGAGGTTGTGAATCTTCATCGACTGAGATGGTTGGGCCACGTGTTACGTATGCCTGAACACCGATTACCACGACGTGCAATGCTAACCGGCGTTCGGGATGGTTGGAAGAAAGTTAGGGGCGGCCAAACCAAAACGTGGCATCAGTGCTTGAAGTAACTAACTTCTAGTCTGAGCCATGTTGGTAGATGCAGACTACTTGGTTGGGGTCCGCATGACTGCCGTAACCAATGGTTGGAGACTCTTGGTGACATGGCTCAGAATCGATCACAATGGCGTCGGTGTATACACTCTCTATCTTCCCTTAAACTAAGAGATTAAAATTGCTTCATGTCTTTCTTTCTACTAACTAATTCTTTCTTCCTGTACTATATCCTTATTGCAATCTTTCTTTTATATATTACCACCATTGAATTAACTACTTTTATGAATCCGTTGTCCATCTTGTCGTGTTAATGAGGTATGGCAATTTGGACCGATGCATAAATGTGCCTGGTCCTACGTTGTAGCTGACTGACTGAAAAATAAACGATTGTCTGAGCACAGTTGCAGCAGACGATCACCATTAATTGTTCGCTATGCCGGAATACTAAAATACTCACCTAAATGTCTTTCTGTTTGGTTTAAACTACCTATTCGGGCATTAAAGTCACCTGAAACGTGTACTATGTCTGAACGTTTAGCTTTATGAAGAAGTTCAGAGAGCTTTCTGTATAATTTATCTTTCATTTCATCTGAGATGCAGTTAGTGGGAGCGAAGGCAGAAACGATAAAAAGGCAACGACGTGTGTCCCTATCTTTCCGAGTTCTTACGTAGCCGTTGAGCCGAACAGCACATAAACGACTGTTAACGGGGATCCACTCTAACAGTGCTTGTTCCGCCCTCATACTTAGTGCTATGCCTACACCTGCCAGTTCACGAGAACTGACCGTCGGGTCACCAGATACACGGAGGGTGTATCTCGTTGGCTCCGTTTTGCTGAGGTGAGGTCAAGTGAATGACTACACTGGGATCCTGTATGTGTGTTTCGAGACACAGCATACATCAATGGTACGAGATTCTAGGGTCCTAGCCAAGGAAGCCTATTGACCGATTTGACATAAGGTGAGTACGTTGAAGGCTACAATGTGTAGTTTGGAACGAGGTTTCAGTAGACCTGGGACAGTGTTCTGAGCACTAAAACCGTTGGCTATAGTGACTCTTGAGGAGGAAGCCGAAAGAGGAAGTTTAGAGTTGAAAGTCGATGTAGGAGGAGTAATAGGAATTGAAGAGGGAGGTTGATTATGAATACAGTGGTCTTGAGTGCTGTTAGAGGTATGAGGGCGGTTATCACTTCCCGGTTGCCCACATCGTGGAAGGGTTCTTCCGAAGGTACCTGAAAAGGAAATTAGATTAGAGGTGGTGTTAGTGACCCGAGAGCGTGACCACAGTGCCCAAGGGACAACTGCTTGAGGTTGGTCACACACGACCTTTTTATGAGTAATTTTTGTGTTAGCTCCGTACTTTCTGAGACCTTACCGCCAGAGACGGATATCCGTGGGACAAGGCGGGTGTGCATTTTTAAGGTCGAACTTTTCTAACCCACCCCACCCCTCCTTGTGGGAAGGCAGCATCGCTGTCATGCTGGTTGTTTGACGGAAACACCTTACTGCCGACATACTTCTGTACAGTCTGCAGTGCGACTTCGCCCTCTGACCTTGGGTTTGCTGTCTTTAGTCTTACCGTTCTTCAACCAATCTGTATGGTATGGTAGGACCTTGAGGAACGATTGCTTCAGCCAGCATAGCCCGACTGGTTCATCACGATAGGCAAGCCCGACCACCACGTCAAGGTAGCAACAACGATCGAGAGACATGGGTCTAAATAGAAACCAATGGCGGTCGTGTTGTAGTTTTCTTTTACTTTATTCATAGGAGTGAGCGGAAGTCTTTCAAGTGAAAGTCTTCTTGGTCGTACTTTTTGTCTGAATTGTTTCTCCTATCATAAACTATGCTCGCTCGCTTATTTAATTTATTTATTTATCTCGATTTTATCCACCCTCCGTCTACCTTTCCACAGTTTTGTTTTCGTATTTATACGGTGCATGTTTATTCTGATGGACATTTATACTAGTACTTGCCTGTTTCAAATAAAAATAGATTGATCCAACTGATTCGGTCAGAATTACACTGGTTTCGAAACAACGGTTATTATAATCACGAAGAACTTTGGCATTCTATTAAAGAATTTGCTTGCCACAATAACACCAGTTTTAGGTGCACATTAAATACTCGTATAACTATTATTATCACGAAAATCCGGTTTCATAGAAAAGTCGCATAAAACAGTCCCATACGTATACTTAAATATTCCATAATGTCAGTGTTTGACAGCGTATATAAACAACTTACTGGAGTACCCAAAGGTAAGTTACAAATAGGTGAAGTCTTCTGCACAGCAGTAGTTGGGGTAGGAATTCCACCAGTTAACAGGCAAAGCTCGTATTGATGAACGCTCAAATTCCACTTTTCAACCCCCGATGGAGCATTTACAGCGCGGACTACGTTATTTACTCTGTATACTATAATGGTAGGATCGTTTGTATTTGGAGGTTCTTCAACCAACTTTTTATCAACATCAGAACTAGTACACCCATCACGGGTACAATTATATCTGACCTGTAAAACAAGCAAAGATGGGACATTTACTGGAATTAATTGGACGAAAAATGAAAACGAATTAAGAATACGAGCCATAACACACAAAAAATCATAAAGGGAAGAGAAAATGAATGAGAAAAAATTATCTCTGAATATTTAACAAAAAACCGGGACTCTGCTTTTTGTTTACTAACACACTATGGATAATCAAAAGAGGAAAAAACTATAAAAATCGAGACTATGCCTAAAATAAGCTGATAAAGTTCGACTTGATACGTAATCTTTTCATGGCAGATGTATTGCTTTTGTCTTAATACTACTAACCTTAGTTTCGCAAATATTATTGATAAGTCTCAGTTCAAAAATCGAAGAGAATATAACTAAACGATTTAGAATTGACAGTGGCCCATATTTAAAATACAGGCGCTGATAAATCAAGACACTAAAAACCATAACAAATTTTAGTTTACCTCTTTGAAAACAGCATTAAGCGCTTGATTTGTTTCAAATTTGTGGGCCACATTTTTCATAGTTAGAATTGTCAGAATAGAATAACTCCATTAATAGTAGCAGGTTTAGGTGGTAAGACGAGGCTGCATACTCTCCCCCTTTCCCTTTCTTCTGGTGGTTGACTGAATTATGAAAACCTTCATATCTGACGGGGAGCATGGAAAACAATGAACAGCTTGAATATAACTAGACGATTTGGACTCCGTAGATGACCTGGCCCTTCTCTCCCATACACACGAACAAATACAGGTAAAGACAACTAGGGTAGCAGAAGCCTCTGCATCAGTAGGTATCAACATACACAATGGGGAAAAGCAAGATCCTCAAATACATCACGGAGAATACCAATCCAATCACACTTGATGAAGAAACTCTGGAAGAGGTGGAATCTTTCATGTGCCTGGGAAACATCATTGGTAAATAACGAGGGTCGGATACAGACGTACGGGTAAGGATTGGCAAAGCAAGGGTAGCACTCGTACACCTGAAGAACATATGTGACTCAGAACAACTGCCATCCAATATCAAATTCACAATCTTCAGTACGGACGTCAAGACAGTTCTACTGTACGGATTTGAAACTTCGAGAACTACCACAATCATCATCAAAACAGTACAAGTATTTATAAACAATTGTCTACGCAGGATACTCAGTGTGCGTTGGCCGGATGCCATCAGCAACAGCCTACTGTGGGACAACAAACCAGCTTCCAGATCAAGAAGAGATTCGGAAAAGAGGTTAGAAGTGGATAGGTCATAAATTTCGGAAACCATCAAACTGCATCATGAGGCAAGCGCTGACTTGGAATCCTGAAGGGAAACGGAAAACAGGAAGCCCAAAGAACACTGTGTCGGGAATTGGAAGCAGACGTAAGGAGGATGAACAGTAGCTGGAAATGACTGGAAAGAATCATCCAGGATAGAGTTCGATAGAGTACTGGTGGACAGTCTATGCTTCTCCACGATAGGTAACAGGCCTAAGTAAGTTAGAATTATGGGACGTACACACTGGAGTAGCTCGAAATCAGTGTTTTCCAATTGTTATTAGTGGTGTTCTATATTAGTAATCAAGACCCCTGATGTACTTTCACTCTCAATTTCATACGGAAACTTTGCTATGTGCAAGCAGGAAGGCTTTTCTGGGAGAGACGATAAGCGAGCAACTATATGAAAGGGATTTGAGAGCTAAGTTTTCTAAAGGGCACCCGTAAATTCTGAGGGCAACAGTTCTACCATCGTTTGAACCCAGTCTCAGGTAAGAGAGAAAACTGAAAATTACTGACCTAATATAATCAGAGTGAGAATCGAATTTTTATCACTGAGTGGAATTAGCTCAGTCAGTGGGCGTTTTAGAGGAGTTACTTTCTTCGAGAATTAACACAAACAAAGTGGTCGAATATTCTCATATTGGAAGAATATTAGATTATTTCATGCGTATCCCAGGATTTCCAGGTGAAACGTCAAATCCACCAAAGTTGGGAGTGAACAAATTCACTCACATTGGTATCTTTATGATAAATTCGAATACAAAGGCAGGTGATCATATGACAGGAAATTACTTGTTGCCATTTGAGTTTACATGTTTTGCACTTAAGTGACTCAGAACATTTCAATTCATAGCTAATGTTTATTCGTTATTTTGCTTTTATGGTTGATGTGAAAAATGAAATGCTGCTCAGGTGCGAAGACAGAAGTATGTGACATCGTTAAGGAATCACCATTAGCCTTTAAATTAAAAGTTTTGGCCACAAAATAAAGTAATATTAAGTGTGTTAAGAAATCAGCCCGTCCACTGGTCCAGGGTCAGGTCAACTTTTAAATATAATGCATTCACCCATAAAACATGTTTTGAAATATTTGAAACCACACACTAACATTTAGACACCTGTTAGATGGGTCCGAGCCCTACTTGTCACCAAGCACAGCTGGTGTTAGTTATAAGTAGTACGGACAAAATAACTATCCGTCTTGGTCTAATAATGGGGTCCCCAAAGTTGATTCAGAATTCCATAAACACGTCCACGTAAACTTTAACAAACTCTTTAGGCATAAAATTTCAATTTGTGATAACCTTGAGTTAAAGACCTCAGTCAGCTAAAAGATATTCTTTCTAGATTAAGTAAACTTTGTGAACTGTTAAATCAAATAACAAGCAATGCGATTTGCCACCAAATGTAACAGACTAACTTTGCCATTGTTAGGATTGAAAGCGAATGTTGAATGTTCTCGTCCTCCAGTTAATAGTGAATCTTCTGTGAGCATAAAATTTGAAGAGAATAAAGAGTCGATGCTCAGTGGTAATGCTTTAAGTGATGCACCACCTAATAGATCTGAGCCATTTGTCAGCTCTTTCTCCATCAAAAAAAGTTGGCCATCAAGAGAAGGAACAATACTATATGATTTCGTTTTTGTTATGAGCTAAAATATGTGATAGTTATTAAGCCGTCAGGATGATAAAATACCTGGAGATCACTCAAGCTCTGGGAAACAAGAGGAGGGCCATCTATCTTCCAAAACAACTTTCCACTTCTTATATCTAAGCCGATGAACGAACCATCAACAGTATTTGCTATTAACACCCTACAATTAAAAAGCAATATTTTCTGAACATGAATTCGTACCCTTGCGAACCGTACGAATATATGCCTCTAACATGTATGTATACTACACATGTGAAAATACAAATGGAAAGGTATGTAGACAAAGAATTCAGAGACATAGTAATGACATCATCCGTCCGGCTGATCCTGACCCTTTTGAACGAAATCCAAGGTCGATCCAATCCGTCAATCGACAATCTTCAATCTGTAAAAACGGTTATCAAGTCAGTTGTATTAATTCTTGCTGCACATTTTTTCTTGTGAAAATTCAGTTTCGGCCTGAAAACGTCTATTGTTGGTCCTGATAACATTAGTTCTAGTAAGGCGTTTTAGTCTATTACTATGTAGTGAATCACATTTATCACGAGAACACGACTGGTTTAATAAAAACAATTATTATTATAACCAAGTGTACCAGTGACTGTTTTAACGTGCTTTTGTTTGACTGTGCTAATGACAGCTATTTTGTGCTTCCATTCTTATACTTACACTTTTTGATTGTAACTTCGCGCGAATTCGGTTACGTTCTGTAACCAAGCTTGTATCCTGGCACGATCTCGGTATCCTTTCGATGCCACGAGATCGCCAGCAAATAAACATCGACTTGGTCCATTAATTGCCTTCTGATATTTGGCTTCTCGGGGATTTTATGGAGTCATTTGGAACGAGCTTCTGATTTATCAGGCACGTGTTTTTTGGTAGCGGTGTTCACAGTTGATCTCAACTCGACGCCACGCTACAACTATTCGATGTCTATAGAAGAGATTTCAACCTGAGTTTATTCGATCGCCGTTTTCGGAGATAAATAGTTCTAGTAGGAGCAAAAAGGTAGAAGCAAAAACGATGTCTGATGTGGATAAATTCAACGTTGTCAAGTCATGTAAGTGTATCATAGTCCTAAATTACGGTCGAGTTTTCGTTAAGTTACTGAATATTTTATAATAATTTCTATCGCAGAAAAGATGCCACAGGTATTCCGATTTTGACAACGCCTTTTCAAGTAACACCTTTATAATCGGAGTGCTCGGACTCAGTCAAATCAGAATTCAGAAATGAAGGAGTTCGAAGTTATATTTGGAAGGCTATCGATACGTCGAGAAGCGTTTGGTCTAAGCTAGCAAGTAGTTGCAACGGATGCGTAGCATAGCGTACCCACTCTTGATCTGATGCGGACGCGTGACGGAGCGTCTCCATCAAGGACGTGTTCAGCAAAACTACTGAGGTCGGCATCAGTGTCGAAAAGTCACAAAACTATTTATTTAGTGGGTTTATCTATCACTAAGGCTCACTCCCTCACCCTAGTGGGGTGATGATTACCCTAAGACGTTTTCAGCCGATAGCGCGCACCCTACAAGCTTTTCGTTGGCGGACACTCTTCTGATAGCTTGCCATGTTCATTAGCACCTAGTCTTCTTTCCCTAATAAAAGAGAATATGCGGCCAAATATAACAAAGAAAATTTAAAGAGAACAAGAACGAAGATTGGTGCGGAAAAATATGAATGCATCTTATTTTGTTTGATTCTCATCAAATGCCTACAACCTAAAGTAACTGAACATCAACGTTACTACTGATACTGACATACTTATATTTAAGAGGGTGATTAAAGATGAATATATGCATCATGATGTAGCCAGGATTTCAATAGAGCTAATATGGTGATAAAAATTTTGTTTCGGGTAAATTAAGTTTGAGAGGGACAGTTCTAGAACACTGAAATAGTGATTAGAAATCATGGAGTTAACAAACATTAGATGATTGTGTAATGAAGAAACTGAAAGTAGATTAATGGGAATAAAGAAAGATATGAATTGAAATCGGTCAGTTGTGAATTGAAGAAAAATGACAGCGTTGTAATTTGAACTTTAGAAAAAGCTGAAATAATAAATGACGTAATAAATAAAAAAGGTCCTAATGTTACCAGGGCGAAGAAAGATTTATCACTATCTGTTTTTGGATACATAGATTTGGTTTTAGACATTTGATTGCTATCGCTTCTGCAAATTTCAAAAGGTTGGAATTTGATTGTTTGTTAATCACCTTGAAGGACTTCACCGTAGTAAATCCATGTCTCATGTCAAAGAGATGTCTTGCAATGGCACTGTTGAATACTTTTGATCTATTTGACCTTAAATTTTTCGGAATATGTTCTTTGAATCGGACGTAGGCTTTCCTTTCTGTTCTACCAATGTAACTGCTTTAGCAGATACATATAAATTTGTAAAAACAGTTGGTGGCAGCATGAAAGGGATACTTATCGACCTTTGATTGTGTCAGAAAACACGTTTTTGGGCAGGACAATCAGTTAAGCTACAGGATAGGTTCCTGTCACTGCAGTTTTTAGGCTCATATTGGTTGACCCTGTGACATCCTCACTTTTGAATTTAATCTGAATAAGAATAAGTTTTTATTTGCTATGCTTTCTTTGTTTTTTTCACCTTCACTTTTCCCATATTTCTCAATAAATTTCAGTGGGTATCCGTTATTTTTTAAACATTTTTTAGCATTTATAACTTACTTCCTAGTGAATCAGCAGTACATATTCTTTCTGTTCTGTGAAACAGTGTTTTTACAAGTGCCTTATTGTAACTGATTGGACAAAAGCTATTGAAATTGAGATAAACCTCATTCTATGTATCTTTCTTATAAGCTGAATGTTGAACTGTGCCATCCTTCCTTCGTTTCATTACAATATTTAAAAAAATGGAACTTGTTCTTATTTTCATATTCCATAGCAAAATGGAAACCAGTCAGTTGTAAATTGAAGAAAAATGATAATGATGTCTCATGATGATACTTCCATCATATGTGATAATCAACATCATGCGACAAATCTGCTAAAACGTTCCAGCAAAGACCATACATATATATCTATTTTGCTATGGGACATGAAATTATAAACAAATCTCATTTTCTCGATATCGCTATGAAACGAGGGAAGGAGAATGATCTACAAGTTCTCCTGGAAGTCGGAGCGCTTTTCTCCGGACGAGTTATAATAATAATAATAATAATTTATTCTCAGATAACAGTTTGTTACATGAGACATTCCAGTTTACAGGCAAGATCTAATTTTTACAAATGATACAATGCCCACTGTAGTAAATTACTCAGCTGGGTTGATAATTTAAAAGATATGAATGTAGATTGTTTTAATCAGTACTATAGTTGGCGCGCTTCATGAAAGTCGCGTCGCGAATGTGCAATTGATGGTCAAGGATAGATCCATTGAAAGTGGGAGCCTCTAGAAATCGCAACCATATGTCCCTTTGGAATATCTAAGGCTTTAAGGATGGTGCAGGATGAAGTCACCAGTTCCATATCTCAAGGGGGCTGAAAAAGGAGCAAGTAAAAGAAAACACGAGAGGCAGAGTAGCCAATATTCATGAAGGAATGTTTAAGGTATGATTACTCAGTCTAATTTTCTTTTATTAAGGTATTTGTTAAGAAAGAGCATTTGAATAGGTTAAAGAAAATAAGTGTAAACAAGGTATGAGTGGACATACAACTGACAAATGGAGGGGATTCAGAAAGGAGCTGAAAATATGAGATTATGTGTGGTCATAAAATATAGTGCTAAAAACAGTATTGTGATATACAATTGACTATCTTCCTTTTTTATCGAAGCTGTTGGAGCCCTTTTCATCTTTTTTTGTATTATTATTTTTTTAAGTATCACAAGGTCTTGAGTAGGCTTCGTATATTATCGAATGGTCTAGTTTGCTTGTAATAGGATTACTGGGCAGTGTATCCAACGTCAGCTTTCACTGCATTACGAATACTGAGTAAAACGAGAGGAAGAGAGTCTGTCCACTGTGAAACGTTTGCAGCTAAGAGTGAAGCCTTCAGCTGTCGGGGAGGTTGTTCTATCAGCCAGCAGGCTCGTTGGTGGTAGGCAGTTTTTCGAAATCTTGTGACTCCTAGTAATGCAATAAGACAACGAAAAAGTCCGGATTTGAACTGGCGCCTGCGGTCTGTAGTGATAGTTGAAGGACAGCATAAGAATGCCACCTATCATTCGACGGAGGCGCAAGCCACTGTCTCAACAGTAGTGCTTTTGATGAGAACTCCTTCTGATCAACGTATAGAGCGGTCCACACACAAAGACGTAAGAGTATGCATTTAAATCTGGTTAGTGTTATGTTATGACTTCGTAATCATCACGTGATAAGATCACCAATTAGAGCACCGACTTACTTACATTGAGTTCTCATTGGTCCTCCGAGATAGTGGCTTCCCCATGAAACATCGCCGAATACTGACGTGGTTGGTAATCAGTGTTTGAACGTCAAGCACCAAGGGAGTTATTAATTCTCCCTTGGGCTGGAATAACGGAAGTGAGATGTTTTCGATAGATAAGTTGGTCGAATCGACGTTTCTACGGAAGTCGATTTCCGGAGGATGCTTATGTTACAACTTAGGTTGATTAGTTAAGAGCGACCTCAAATATCTAAATATATGTCGAAAGCTTTGTGTGTTTAAACAGGTAATCTGGCGCTCCACTGTATACCTCACCACGATCTAAATAAAGGCTTGTTCACTACTAGTTTGGATTTTTCTATCAGTAGAACGAGAGGTACCTACCGGCGCGAAAAATGTAATAGTAAATGTCTTACTGAATCCATATGAACATGTGCGAAACGAGCCTATGGAGTTCTGAAAGTGAGTAAGGGATGTTTGTTGTGTCTAAGAAGTTAGATTTCTTGAAGCTTGCACAGGAGCATGCCTACTCCCTCGTCTTTATTCATACCAAGCCAACTGCGAGAACGACCCACTGGTGAACTCAAGGTAGTTATAAGAAGTTCAGAAATACAAAGATATATTCAAGGCCGACCTAGAAAACTTTAATGATGCTGCAAAGGTCGAAGTACTACTACGCAAACTTGGTACAGATGAAAATGAACGCTATATTAACTTAAGTTTCGCCAAGAATCCTAGAGACCTTTCTTCTCATACAACGGTCGTAACTTTTCCGCAGATTTTTGGTGAAGTCATCTTTATTCAATATTCTTTATCAATGTCTGAAGTTGGATAAAGCTGAAGACAATGACTGGGTGAAAAATTCTGGCATAGTAACTCGCGAGTGCGAGCGGTTCAAATTATCAGGAATGACAGACCAGTTTAAGTGTCTTGTTTTTGTGTGCAGCTTGCAATCATCCGAAG